GGGGAGGGACAGATCGTTTGGGGATCTGTCCCGGGGGGGGAGGGACAGATCGTTTGGGGATCTGTCCCGGGGGGGAGGGACAGATCGTTTGGGGATCTGTCCCGGGGGGGAGGGACAGATCGTTTGGGGATCTGTCCCGGGGAGGGGGGGATAGATCGTTTGGGGATCTGTCCCAGGGGGAGGGATAGATCGTTTGGGGATCTGTCCCAATCTGAGGGAGGGAGGGTGTTGCTGTAGATGTAGATATTGATGACCGTTTTCTTGTGGTTATCAATTAAAAGATTTTATTCCATAAGCTGTCTGTGTCTGCATGGAATGGGGAGGGAGTGCAGGGCGGCAGCGGGAAATGGTCCCAAGCAGATCCGCCAAGGCTGAAAGGGCTCCAAGGGCACCCAAAGGGCACTCCAGGCCTGAGTCAGTGCCGGAGGTGCAGGCATTCATGGAAGGTCCCCTTCCCCTGGGGAAGCAGCCCTTTGGCGTGGGAGCCAGGACAGAGGGGTCCGTGCAGGACTCCCTCACACGGCCCCACACCGAAAACAGCCCTCAGCACAGCCTGGGCACCGTCCTCCCACTCTGGGGCTTTAGAAGGCTGCTCCCGCTGCTCCCAGGGACCTCACCATGTCCCCAGTCATCCCACTGCAGCCCCAGACAGAGCCCCCCCAGGCTGCCCCGGGGCTGCATTGGGCAGGGGCGGTAAGGGAGAGGGAAGAATGTGCTGGGAACCCTAATGCAGGGCCTCACAGAAGTCCAGGGAGACGACATCCGTAGATCTCTGGGAGGCAGCACTTGGAATGTATGGAGCTCTGTCGAGGGGTGGATGGCGAGCCACTCGGCGGTTGATGGGTCAGGATCAAAAGGCAGGCCGGGCATGGGGACACTGCTGAGGGCACTGCGGGGACACCGCGGGCCTCCTGAGCAGCAGCAGGATGGGGATGAGAGCTCCACGGGCAGCTTGAAGCTGCCTCCCAGTCACAGTCCCTGGCTCTCGTGGGGCATTCAACTACCCTGAGAGCAGCTGGAAAAGCAACACAGCCAAGCACAAACAGTCCCGGAGGTTCCTAGAAAGCAGTGGCGACAGCTTCCCGACCCATTGCCTCTCACAAGCAATGCTGTGCCGCTCCACCTCAGACTAACACACAGGAAAGGCCTTGTTGGAGATGGGAGGGTAAGGGACAGCCTTGGCTGTTGAGACCATGGGACTGTGGTCTTCTGAAATTCCAGGTATTGGGAAACACATAAATACCAGGAGACAGAGGAGCTAACTAAGAAGGATAAACTTTTATTCCAATGAAAGGGAGAGTTCACTGAACAAACCTCAGTGAGGCCTCTCAAGTCAGTGGAGGTCGCAGCCCCCTTTTATCCCCTTTGCCCGGAGCGCTGCTCCCTCCCCAGCGTTTCTCCACTGGCTGACATACGCCGGGGTTACAGGCTTCCCGACACGCCTGCTCTGTGTCCCCCATTATGTCCCTCGGAGGGGGCTGGGAAGGTCACTGGGGCTTTTCCAAATGGAGGCCACAGCACACTTCAAAACGGAGGACGTGGCCACCTGAGACCTTCTCTGCTGCTGATCGGTCCCCCTGTCTCTGGGCAAAGGGCACCCCTTGGTAGCCAACAATTGAACCACCAGTAACTTACTGCTTCTTAGTGCAAACTGCGACTACCCTACAAACTTTGCAAGCACACTTTCTTCTTCTTAAGGGTGGAGCTGAGGACTGGGGGAGGAGGAAGCAGGGCAGCATGGAAGATCAGAACACGCACCTCAGGAGAGCTGACTTGAGCCTCTTCAGGGATCTTCTTCCTTGGTGTCTGACGTCCTTTTTTCCCCTCACTCGCTGCTCTAACCCCACAACCTGATTTGCTGCACACCCTGTCTCCTAAACCACCGCCCAGCTAGTCTTTCTTGATGGGCCGAGCTCCTTGTTTCCCTTTGCCCTTCTCCGAATGCCAGGGAATGGGAAACACCCTCATTTTTATGGTTGGGCTCTTGCTGCCCAGCCTCCCTTTCTGCAACAGTTTCACAGTTTTCAATCTGGTCCTGTCCCTGTTTCTTTCAATGCCCAGGTTTTCTCCAAAACAGCCAACTGACACACATGCAATCACTATGCCCAGAACTGCCAGGAGAACTCCGCCAGTTCAGCGGCTCAAGTGGGCAGAAGCTGTCTTGGATGTAGCCTTGCCCGCTTTGAACCTCAAGATTCCACGTGAGGAGCCAGATGCTGAGCACTCCCGAAGAACCCCCTTTCCTAGACCAAATCTCCAACCGCAGCAGATCGCAGCACACACCTAAAGCGCCTTTGACCGCGACCTGACAGAACCCCCTTCTTGTTGTCCACGCTCTTGTCTTCCCATGGAATGGAGAGCAGAAAAAGACTCTCCAGTGTAAGGCCAGAACAGCCAGGTTTACGGCAGAGGCAGAGAAACTGCCCTATCCCTGCCTCCAGGATGGTGAGCCTGCTCCAGGATCCTTCCATCGGGCAGTTTTGGGTGCATTGTGTGGTTTTGTATCAATGTATATGGCTTTCAGCGATGTTAACTTCCAGTGGTGAGAAGTCATGAGATTAGTCCCCGGAATGAGGTGATGACCTTCTGCAACAAGAGTTTGACTTTGAATGGCCAAGGTTTTTATTCCCCTCCTGCTTTCTGCAGGTGCCCCCTGTTTTTCGAGACTCCTAGACTCCTAGAAGAGTTTGTGTCGGAAGGGGCCTTAAAGCTCATCTAGACAAGGTTGCTCCAAGCCCCGCCCGAGCCGGCCTCGAACACTTCCAGGGACGGGGCAGCCACGGCTTCTCTGGACGACCTGTGCCAGGTCCTCACCACGCTCACAGAGAAGAATTTTTTTCCAGAATCCCATCTAATCGTGCCCTCTGCCAGTGTGAAGCCGTTCCGCCTTGTTCTGTCACTGCAGTCCCTCGTAAATAGTCTCTCCTATCCAAGCCTTCTTGGTCCTCCCTGTTGTGTTGCAAAATTTGCAAGTTGATGCTGTGCCAGGGCTGTGCCAGCAGCCAAGGGCTGACCCGGGTGCAGGACCTTGCGCTTGAGGTCTGTTGTCGCTGGCTTTGTTCAGCCTGGAGGAGGCTGAGCTGAGATCTCATGGGGGGCTGCAGCTTCCTGCCAAGGGGCAGCAGCGATTTCTGCTGCGTGGGACCAGGGACAGGACCCCAGGGAACGGCTGGAGCTGTGTCGGGGGAGGGTTAGGTTGGATATTAGGAAAAGCTTCTTCCCCCAGAGGGTGGTCGGCCACTGGAACGGGCTCCCCAGGGCAGTGGTCTTGGCCCCAAGGCTGCCAGAGCTCAAGGAGCGTTTGGACAACGCTCTCAGGCACGTGGTGGGGTTGCTGGGCTGTCCTGTGCAAGGCCGGGAGTTGGACTGGATGATCCTTGTGGGTCCCTTCCAGCTCAGGATATTCTGTGATTCTAACTCTTTGGTTAAGCCTTTGTCTCCCCATGAAGAGCTGGCAAAGCTGTTGGGGGTGGGGCAGAACAAGGGAAGCTGCCTCTCTGACATTGTTGCTGCCTCTCTGACATTGTTGCTGCCTCTCTGACATTGTTGCTGCCTCTATGACATGACAGTGGGAGCCCCAACATTCCGTCCCTGGAGACGCTCCAAGAGGAGCATCCAGACCTGGGTCCAGTCAACAGACCGGAGCGGCCGCCGAAGCTGACTGAGCATGGCCCTGTCAGCTCTGTGGCAGCGTTGTGTGAGCTGGAGCTCAGCCATAGCCCAGCTCCTGCAGCCATTGGTCTCTCGCGGAACCTCCTGCCCCACAGGTGAGGACAGACCCTGAGCCCGAAAGCCCCAGGACGCACGGCGGGGACAGTCACAGCCCTTGCTCCCCTGCCCCTTCCCCTCCTCCTCCTCAGTCCTCTGAGCGCCCGACACCCCCCGACTGGCATGTGACCTCCAGCGTTTGCCCTTTCTCGCAGGATCAGCCAACCTCGGCCAACAGCCTGGGCAGAAGCAGCAGCCCTTGCCAGCTCCCTCTGCCCCACCAGCAGGTATGGCAGTCCCATCTGCCTTGGCCCCTCGGCATTCCCTGCCCCCCAGCCCCTCCAGCCTCCAGGCCTGCCCTGGCTCCTCCAGCCCTGCCGGCACCTCCAGCAGCCACAGCACCCCTGTCCCCCTGCCAGCTGGGGCACCTTGGCTCAGCACGGCACGGCAAGCAGCCCTGGCATTGCCTGGGCCACCTCTGTTCAGGCAAGATCGTTTAGAGGATCTTGGGGCCGTCGCTGCCATTTTGCCGTCCCCTGTGCAACCCCATGGCTGTGGCACAGCAGCTCACCCCGCAGGGATGGTCCCTCACTCAAGCTCCCACTCAGTCTGTGTTCCGGGCCGGCTCAGCGGGTGCCCCAGGAGACTCTCCCAGCCCCGAGCCTCCCCCCCAGTCTGCCTTCTCCCCTGTGCACGTGTGCCAATGGCTCCGGGCAGTGACTGCTCCAACCCCCACCCGTATCTTCTGCTCGGCAGGGACACGGACTCAGCTGCCTCCACCAGCCCCCTTGGCAAGCAGCCATGGCATTGCTCCTCCATCAGGCAATGCCCTGGGGGGGGCCCGGGGCTGCAGGAAGCCCCTGGCCCCAGTCCCACCAGTGCGGGACACGCAGCACGGCTCAGCCAACCCCTCAGGGACGCCCCTGGGCAGTGGCAGCCCTCCAGACACCAGCGTCCCCATGGATGTGGACACCACCCCAGGTCTTGACATCAGTCTGGCCAGCGACGTCAGCATGGATGAGGACAGCCCGTCAGGCCGTGACCTCTCCTTGGCCAGCGACGTCAGCATGGACGAGGACAGCCCGTCAGGCCGTGACCTCTCCTTGGCCAGCGACGTCAGCATGGACGAGGACAGCCCGTCAGGCCGTGACCTCTCGCTGGCCACTGACGACCCCATGGATGGTGGCTCCCCCCCAGGCAGTGATCACGTTGCGAGCTGTGACATCTCGCTGAGCAGCGATGTCCCCATGGATGAGGACACCTTCCCGAGGGGTGACATCTCCCTGCCCAGTGACACCACTGCCAGCCACCCAGGCCCACTCCACGGCCAAGCCATCGGGGCCCCTGGGGTGACTCCAGCCAGCGAGCCTGTGCTGCGTGGCAAGGTCCTGCTGGAAGGGACTCGGAGCCACTTGGATTGCTCCCAGGGAGCCGTGGGCACCAGCCAGGATGGTCGCAGCAGCGTCCCCGTGCCCACGGACCATTGTGGCACCAGTGGCACCAGCCCCCAGCCCAAGAACGCCTCGCTCTGCCCGCCCAAGAAGATGCCGCCCACTGAGCGCAGTGTCCCCAAGCCTTCCAGAGCCGTCCTGAGCACGGGACACTGCAACGCGGGCGGCACCAAGCCTCAGGACCCTCAGCAGGGTGCGGGCACGAACCTGCCACCGCCTCAGAGCAGCATGTCACCAAGCAACATCGCTCTGAAAAGACGGGGCACGAAGAGGAAGAGGGGCTCTGAGCCAAGCACTGGGAGCAAGTGCAAGGCTCCCGCAGCCCGGGCTGGGGCAGAAAGTTCTTGAGGGACAGATCGTTTGGGGATGTGTCCCAGGGGGAGGGACAGATCGTTTGGGGATCTGTCCCAGGGGGAGGGACAGATCGTTTGGGGATCTGTCCCAGGGGGAGGGACAGATCGTTTGGGGATCTGTCCCGGGGGGGAGGGACAGATCGTTTGGGGATCTGTCCCGGGGAGGGGGGGATAGATCGTTTGGGGATCTGTCCCAGGGGGAGGGATAGATCGTTTGGGGATCTGTCCCAATCTGAGGGAGGGAGGGTGTTGCTGTAGATGTAGATATTGATGACCGTTTTCTTGTGGTTATCAATTAAAAGATTTTATTCCATAAGCTGTCTGTGTCTGCATGGAATGGGGAGGGAGTGCAGGGCGGCAGCGGGAAATGGTCCCAAGCAGATCCGCCAAGGCTGAAAGGGCTCCAAGGGCACCCAAAGGGCACTCCAGGCCTGAGTCAGTGCCGGAGGTGCAGGCATTCATGGAAGGTCCCCTTCCCCTGGGGAAGCAGCCCTTTGGCGTGGGAGCCAGGACAGAGGGGTCCGTGCAGGACTCCCGCACACGGCCCCACACCGAAAACAGCCCTCAGCACAGCCTGGGCACCGTCCTCCCACTCTGGGGCTTTAGAAGGCTGCTCCCGCTGCTCCCAGGGACCTCACCATGTCCCCAGTCATCCCACTGCAGCCCCAGACAGAGCTCCCCCAGGCTGCCCCGGGGCTGCATTGGGCAGGGGCGGTAAGGGAGAGGGAAGAATGTGCTGGGAACCCTAATGCAGGGCCTCACAGAAGTCCAGGGAGACGACATCCGTAGATCTCTGGGAGGCAGCTCTGTCGAGGGGTGGATGGCGAGCCACTCGGCGGTTGATGGGTCAGGATCAAAAGGCAGGCCGGGCATGGGGACACTGCTGAGGGCACTGCGGGGACACCGCGGGCCTCCTGAGCAGCAGCAGGATGGGGATGAGAGCTCCACGGGCAGCTTGAAGCTGCCTCCCAGTCACAGTCCCTGGCTCTCGTGGGGCATTCAACTACCCTGAGAGCAGCTGGAAAAGCAACACAGCCAAGCACAAACAGTCCCGGAGGTTCCTAGAAAGCAGTGGCGACAGCTTCCCGACCCATTGCCTCTCACAAGCAATGCTGTGCCGCTCCACCTCCGACTAACACACAGGAAAGGCCTTGTTGGAGATGGGAGGGTAAGGGACAGCCTTGGCTGTCGAGACCATGGGACTGTGGTCTTCTGAAATTCCAGGTATTGGGAAACACATAAATACCAGGAGACAGAGGAGCTAACTAAGAAGGATAAACTTTTATTCCAATGAAAGGGAGAGTTCACTGAACAAACCTCAGTGAGGCCTCTCAAGTCAGTGGAGGTCGCAGCCCCCTTTTATCCCCTTTGCCCGGAGCGCTGCTCCCTCCCCAGCGTTTCTCCACTGGCTGACATACGCCGGGGTTACAGGCTTCCCGACACGCCTGCTCTGTGTCCCCCATTATGTCCCTCGGAGGGGGCTGGGAAGGTCACTGGGGCTTTTCCAAATGGAGGCCACAGCACACTTCAAAACGGAGGACGTGGCCACCTGAGACCTTCTCTGCTGCTGATCGGTCCCCCTGTCTCTGGGCAAAGGGCACCCCTTGGTAGCCAACAATTGAACCACCAGTAACTTACTGCTTCTTAGTGCAAACTGCGACTACCCTACAAACTTTGCAAGCACACTTTCTTCTTCCTAAGGCTGGAGCTGAGGACTGGGGGAGGAGGAAGCAGGGCAGCATGGAAGATCAGAACACGCACCTCAGGAGAGCTGACTTGAGCCTCTTCAGGGATCTTCTTCCTTGGTGTCTGACGTCCTTTTTTCCCCTCACTCGCTGCTCTAACCCCACAACCTGATTTGCTGCACACCCTGTCTCCTAAACCACCGCCCAGCTAGTCTTTCTTGATGGGCCGAGCTCCTTGTTTCCCTTTGCCCTTCTCCGAATGCCAGGGAATGGGAAACACCCTCATTTTTATGGTTGGGCTCTTGCTGCCCAGCCTCCCTTTCTGCAACAGTTTCACAGTTTTCAATCTGGTCCTGTCCCTGTTTCTTTCAATGCCCAGGTTTTCTCCAAAACAGCCAACTGACACACATGCAATCACTATGCCCAGAACTGCCAGGAGAACTCCGCCAGTTCAGCGGCTCAAGTGGGCAGAAGCTGTCTTGGATGTAGCCTTGCCCGCTTTGAACCTCAAGATTCCACGTGAGGAGCCAGATGCTGAGCACTCCTGAAGAACCCCCTTTCCTAGACCAAATCTCCAACCGCAGCAGATCGCAGCACACACCTAAAGCGCCTTTGACCGCGACCTGACAGAACCCCCTTCTTGTTGTCCACGCTCTTGTCTTCCCATGGAATGGAGAGCAGAAAAAGACTCTCCAGTGTAAGGCCAGAACAGCCAGGTTTACGGCAGAGGCAGAGAAACTGCCCTATCCCTGCCTCCAGGATGGTGAGCCTGCTCCAGGATCCTTCCATCGGGCAGTTTTGGGTGCATTGTGTGGTTTTGTATCAATGTATAAGGCTTTCAGCGATGTTAACTTCCAGTGGTGAGAAGTCATGAGATTAGTCCCCGGAATGAGGTGATGACCTTCTGCAACAAGAGTTTGACTTTGAATGGCCAAGGTTTTTATTCCCCTCCTGCTTTCTGCAGGTGCCCCCTGTTTTTCGAGACTCCTAGACTCCTAGAAGAGTTTGTGTCGGAAGGGGCCTTAAAGCTCATCTAGACAAGGTTGCTCCAAGCCCCGCCCGAGCCGGCCTCGAACACTTCCAGGGACGGGGCAGCCACGGCTTCTCTGGACGACCTGTGCCAGGTCCTCACCACGCTCACAGAGAAGAATTTTTTTCCAGAATCCCATCTAATCGTGCCCTCTGCCAGTGTGAAGCCGTTCCGCCTTGTTCTGTCACTGCAGTCCCTCGTAAATAGTCTCTCCTATCCAAGCCTTCTTGGTCCTCCCTGTTGTGTTGCAAAATTTGCAAGTTGATGCTGTGCCAGGGCTGTGCCAGCAGCCAAGGGCTGACCCGGGTGCAGGACCTTGCGCTTGAGGTCTGTTGTCGCTGGCTTTGTTCAGCCTGGAGGAGGCTGAGCTGAGATCTCATGGGGGGCTGCAGCTTCCTGCCAAGGGGCAGCAGCGATTTCTGCTGCGTGGGACCAGGGACAGGACCCCAGGGAACGGCTGGAGCTGTGTCGGGGGAGGGTTAGGTTGGATATTAGGAAAAGCTTCTTCCCCCAGAGGGTGGTCGGCCACTGGAACGGGCTCCCCAGGGCAGTGGTCTTGGCCCCAAGGCTGCCAGAGCTCAAGGAGCGTTTGGACAACGCTCTCAGGCACGTGGTGGGGTTGCTGGGCTGTCCTGTGCAAGGCCGGGAGTTGGACTGGATGATCCTTGTGGGTCCCTTCCAGCTCAGGATATTCTGTGATTCTAACTCTTTGGTTAAGCCTTTGTCTCCCCATGAAGAGCTGGCAAAGCTGTTGGGGGTGGGGCAGAACAAGGGAAGCTGCCTCTCTGACATTGTTGCTGCCTCTCTGACATTGTTGCTGCCTCTCTGACATTGTTGCTGCCTCTATGACATGACAGTGGGAGCCCCAACATTCCGTCCCTGGAGACGCTCCAAGAGGAGCATCCAGACCTGGGTCCAGTCAACAGACCGGAGCGGCCGCCGAAGCTGACTGAGCATGGCCCTGTCAGCTCTGTGGCAGCGTTGTGTGAGCTGGAGCTCAGCCATAGCCCAGCTCCTGCAGCCATTGGTCTCTCGCGGAACCTCCTGCCCCACAGGTGAGGACAGACCCTGAGCCCGAAAGCCCCAGGACGCACGGCGGGGACAGTCACAGCCCTTGCTCCCCTGCCCCTTCCCCTCCTCCTCCTCAGTCCTCTGAGCGCCCGACACCCCCCGACTGGCATGTGACCTCCAGCGTTTGCCCTTTCTCGCAGGATCAGCCAACCTCGGCCAACAGCCTGGGCAGAAGCAGCAGCCCTTGCCAGCTCCCTCTGCCCCACCAGCAGGTATGGCAGTCCCATCTGCCTTGGCCCCTCGGCATTCCCTGCCCCCCAGCCCCTCCAGCCTCCAGGCCTGCCCTGGCTCCTCCAGCCCTGCCGGCACCTCCAGCAGCCACAGCACCCCTGTCCCCCTGCCAGCTGGGGCACCTTGGCTCAGCACGGCACGGCAAGCAGCCCTGGCATTGCCTGGGCCACCTCTGTTCAGGCAAGATCGTTTAGAGGATCTTGGGGCCGTCGCTGCCATTTTGCCGTCCCCTGTGCAACCCCATGGCTGTGGCACAGCAGCTCACCCCGCAGGGATGGTCCCTCACTCAAGCTCCCACTCAGTCTGTGTTCCGGGCCGGCTCAGCGGGTGCCCCAGGAGACTCTCCCAGCCCCGAGCCTCCCCCCCAGTCTGCCTTCTCCCCTGTGCACGTGTGCCAATGGCTCCGGGCAGTGACTGCTCCAACCCCCACCCGTATCTTCTGCTCGGCAGGGACACGGACTCAGCTGCCTCCACCAGCCCCCTTGGCAAGCAGCCATGGCATTGCTCCTCCATCAGGCAATGCCCTGGGGGGGGCCCGGGGCTGCAGGAAGCCCCTGGCCCCAGTCCCACCAGTGCGGGACACGCAGCACGGCTCAGCCAACCCCTCAGGGACGCCCCTGGGCAGTGGCAGCCCTCCAGACACCAGCGTCCCCATGGATGTGGACACCACCCCAGGTCTTGACATCAGTCTGGCCAGCGACGTCAGCATGGATGAGGACAGCCCGTCAGGCCGTGACCTCTCCTTGGCCAGCGACGTCAGCATGGACGAGGACAGCCCGTCAGGCCGTGACCTCTCCTTGGCCAGCGACGTCAGCATGGACGAGGACAGCCCGTCAGGCCGTGACCTCTCCTTGGCCAGCGACGTCAGCATGGACGAGGACAGCCCGTCAGGCCGTGACCTCTCGCTGGCCACTGACGACCCCATGGATGGTGGCTCCCCCCCAGGCAGTGATCACGTTGCGAGCTGTGACATCTCGCTGAGCAGCGATGTCCCCATGGATGAGGACACCTTCCCGAGGGGTGACATCTCCCTGCCCAGTGACACCACTGCCAGCCACCCAGGCCCACTCCACGGCCAAGCCATCGGGGCCCCTGGGGTGACTCCAGCCAGCGAGCCTGTGCTGCGTGGCAAGGTCCTGCTGGAAGGGACTCGGAGCCACTTGGATTGCTCCCAGGGAGCCGTGGGCACCAGCCAGGATGGTCGCAGCAGCGTCCCCGTGCCCACGGACCATTGTGGCACCAGTGGCACCAGCCCCCAGCCCAAGAACGCCTCGCTCTGCCCGCCCAAGAAGATGCCGCCCACTGAGCGCAGTGTCCCCAAGCCTTCCAGAGCCGTCCTGAGCACGGGACACTGCAACGCGGGCGGCACCAAGCCTCAGGACCCTCAGCAGGGTGCGGGCACGAACCTGCCACCGCCTCAGAGCAGCATGTCACCAAGCAACATCGCTCTGAAAAGACGGGGCACGAAGAGGAAGAGGGGCTCTGAGCCAAGCACTGGGAGCAAGTGCAAGGCTCCCGCAGCCCGGGCTGGGGCAGAAAGTTCTTGAGGGACAGATCGTTTGGGGATCTGTCCCAGGGGGAGGGACAGATCGTTTGGGGATCTGTCCCGGGGGGGGAGGGACAGATCGTTTGGGGATCTGTCCCGGGGGGGAGGGACAGATCGTTTGGGGATCTGTCCCGGGGAGGGGGGGATAGATCGTTTGGGGATCTGTCCCAGGGGGAGGGATAGATCGTTTGGGGATCTGTCCCAATCTGAGGGAGGGAGGGTGTTGCTGTAGATGTAGATATTGATGACCGTTTTCTTGTGGTTATCAATTAAAAGATTTTATTCCATAAGCTGTCTGTGTCTGCATGGAATGGGGAGGGAGTGCAGGGCGGCAGCGGGAAATGGTCCCAAGCAGATCCGCCAAGGCTGAAAGGGCTCCAAGGGCACCCAAAGGGCACTCCAGGCCTGAGTCAGTGCCGGAGGTGCAGGCATTCATGGAAGGTCCCCTTCCCCTGGGGAAGCAGCCCTTTGGCGTGGGAGCCAGGACAGAGGGGTCCGTGCAGGACTCCCGCACACGGCCCCACACCGAAAACAGCCCTCAGCACAGCCTGGGCACCGTCCTCCCACTCTGGGGCTTTAGAAGGCTGCTCCCGCTGCTCCCAGGGACCTCACCATGTCCCCAGTCATCCCACTGCAGCCCCAGACAGAGCTCCCCCAGGCTGCCCCGGGGCTGCATTGGGCAGGGGCGGTAAGGGAGAGGGAAGAATGTGCTGGGAACCCTAATGCAGGGCCTCACAGAAGTCCAGGGAGACGACATCCGTAGATCTCTGGGAGGCAGCACTTGGAATGTATGGAGCTCTGTCGAGGGGTGGATGGCGAGCCACTCGGCGGTTGATGGGTCAGGATCAAAAGGCAGGCCGGGCATGGGGACACTGCTGAGGGCACTGCGGGGACACCGCGGGCCTCCTGAGCAGCAGCAGGATGGGGATGAGAGCTCCACAGGCAGCTTGAAGCTGCCTCCCAGTCACAGTCCCTGGCTCTCGTGGGGCATTCAACTACCCTGAGAGCAGCTGGAAAAGCAACACAGCCAAGCACAAACAGTCCCGGAGGTTCCTAGAAAGCAGTGGCGACAGCTTCCCGACCCATTGCCTCTCACAAGCAATGCTGTGCCGCTCCACCTCAGACTAACACACAGGAAAGGCCTTGTTGGAGATGGGAGGGTAAGGGACAGCCTTGGCTGTCGAGACCATGGGACTGTGGTCTTCTGAAATTCCAGGTATTGGGAAACACATAAATACCAGGAGACAGAGGAGCTAACTAAGAAGGATAAACTTTTATTCCAATGAAAGGGAGAGTTCACTGAACAAACCTCAGTGAGGCCTCTCAAGTCAGTGGAGGTCGCAGCCCCCTTTTATCCCCTTTGCCCGGAGCGCTGCTCCCTCCCCAGCGTTTCTCCACTGGCTGACATACGCCGGGGTTACAGGCTTCCCGACACGCCTGCTCTGTGTCCCCCATTATGTCCCTCGGAGGGGGCTGGGAAGGTCACTGGGGCTTTTCCAAATGGAGGCCACAGCACACTTCAAAACGGAGGACGTGGCCACCTGAGACCTTCTCTGCTGCTGATCGGTCCCCCTGTCTCTGGGCAAAGGGCACCCCTTGGTAGCCAACAATTGAACCACCAGTAACTTACTGCTTCTTAGTGCAAACTGCGACTACCCTACAAACTTTGCAAGCACACTTTCTTCTTCCTAAGGGTGGAGCTGAGGACTGGGGGAGGAGGAAGCAGGGCAGCATGGAAGATCAGAACACGCACCTCAGGAGAGCTGACTTGAGCCTCTTCAGGGATCTTCTTCCTTGGTGTCTGACGTCCTTTTTTCCCCTCACTCGCTGCTCTAACCCCACAACCTGATTTGCTGCACACCCTGTCTCCTAAACCACCGCCCAGCTAGTCTTTCTTGATGGGCCGAGCTCCTTGTTTCCCTTTGCCCTTCTCCGAATGCCAGGGAATGGGAAACACCCTCATTTTTATGGTTGGGCTCTTGCTGCCCAGCCTCCCTTTCTGCAACAGTTTCACAGTTTTCAATCTGGTCCTGTCCCTGTTTCTTTCAATGCCCAGGTTTTCTCCAAAACAGCCAACTGACACACATGCAATCACTATGCCCAGAACTGCCAGGAGAACTCCGCCAGTTCAGCGGCTCAAGTGGGCAGAAGCTGTCTTGGATGTAGCCTTGCCCGCTTTGAACCTCAAGATTCCACGTGAGGAGCCAGATGCTGAGCACTCCCGAAGAACCCCCTTTCCTAGACCAAATCTCCAACCGCAGCAGATCGCAGCACACACCTAAAGCGCCTTTGACCGCGACCTGACAGAACCCCCTTCTTGTTGTCCACGCTCTTGTCTTCCCATGGAATGGAGAGCAGAAAAAGACTCTCCAGTGTAAGGCCAGAACAGCCAGGTTTACGGCAGAGGCAGAGAAACTGCCCTATCCCTGCCTCCAGGATGGTGAGCCTGCTCCAGGATCCTTCCATCGGGCAGTTTTGGGTGCATTGTGTGGTTTTGTATCAATGTATATGGCTTTCAGCGATGTTAACTTCCAGTGGTGAGAAGTCATGAGATTAGTCCCCGGAATGAGGTGATGACCTTCTGCAACAAGAGTTTGACTTTGAATGGCCAAGGTTTTTATTCCCCTCCTGCTTTCTGCAGGTGCCCCCTGTTTTTCGAGACTCCTAGACTCCTAGAAGAGTTTGTGTCGGAAGGGGCCTTAAAGCTCATCTAGACAAGGTTGCTCCAAGCCCCGCCCGAGCCGGCCTCGAACACTTCCAGGGACGGGGCAGCCACGGCTTCTCTGGACGACCTGTGCCAGGTCCTCACCACGCTCACAGAGAAGAATTTTTTTCCAGAATCCCATCTAATCGTGCCCTCTGCCAGTGTGAAGCCGTTCCACCTTGTTCTGTCACTGCAGTCCCTCGTAAATAGTCTCTCCTATCCAAGCCTTCTTGGTCCTCCCTGTTGTGTTGCAAAATTTGCAAGTTGATGCTGTGCCAGGGCTGTGCCAGCAGCCAAGGGCTGACCCGGGTGCAGGACCTTGCGCTTGAGGTCTGTTGTCGCTGGCTTTGTTCAGCCTGGAGGAGGCTGAGCTGAGATCTCATGGGGGGCTGCAGCTTCCTGCCAAGGGGCAGCAGCGATTTCTGCTGCGTGGGACCAGGGACAGGACCCCAGGGAACGGCTGGAGCTGTGTCGGGGGAGGGTTAGGTTGGATATTAGGAAAAGCTTCTTCCCCCAGAGGGTGGTCGGCCACTGGAACGGGCTCCCCAGGGCAGTGGTCTTGGCCCCAAGGCTGCCAGAGCTCAAGGAGCGTTTGGACAACGCTCTCAGGCACGTGGTGGGGTTGCTGGGCTGTCCTGTGCAAGGCCGGGAGTTGGACTGGATGATCCTTGTGGGTCCCTTCCAGCTCAGGATATTCTGTGATTCTAACTCTTTGGTTAAGCCTTTGTCTCCCCATGAAGAGCTGGCAAAGCTGTTGGGGGTGGGGCAGAACAAGGGAAGCTGCCTCTCTGACATTGTTGCTGCCTCTCTGACATTGTTGCTGCCTCTCTGACATTGTTGCTGCCTCTATGACATGACAGTGGGAGCCCCAACATTCCGTCCCTGGAGACGCTCCAAGAGGAGCATCCAGACCTGGGTCCAGTCAACAGACCGGAGCGGCCGCCGAAGCTGACTGAGCATGGCCCTGTCAGCTCTGTGGCAGCGTTGTGTGAGCTGGAGCTCAGCCATAGCCCAGCTCCTGCAGCCATTGGTCTCTCGCGGAACCTCCTGCCCCACAGGTGAGGACAGACCCTGAGCCCGAAAGCCCCAGGACGCACGGCGGGGACAGTCACAGCCCTTGCTCCCCTGCCCCTTCCCCTCCTCCTCCTCAGTCCTCTGAGCGCCCGACACCCCCCGACTGGCATGTGACCTCCAGCGTTTGCCCTTTCTCGCAGGATCAGCCAACCTCGGCCAACAGCCTGGGCAGAAGCAGCAGCCCTTGCCAGCTCCCTCTGCCCCACCAGCAGGTATGGCAGTCCCATCTGCCTTGGCCCCTCGGCATTCCCTGCCCCCCAGCCCCTCCAGCCTCCAGGCCTGCCCTGGCTCCTCCAGCCCTGCCGGCACCTCCAGCAGCCACAGCACCCCTGTCCCCCTGCCAGCTGGGGCACCTTGGCTCAGCACGGCACGGCAAGCAGCCCTGGCATTGCCTGGGCCACCTCTGTTCAGGCAAGATCGTTTAGAGGATCTTGGGGCCGTCGCTGCCATTTTGCCGTCCCCTGTGCAACCCCATGGCTGTGGCACAGCAGCTCACCCCGCAGGGATGGTCCCTCACTCAAGCTCCCACTCAGTCTGTGTTCCGGGCCGGCTCAGCGGGTGCCCCAGGAGACTCTCCCAGCCCCGAGCCTCCCCCCCAGTCTGCCTTCTCCCCTGTGCACGTGTGCCAATGGCTCCGGGCAGTGACTGCTCCAACCCCCACCCGTATCTTCTGCTCGGCAGGGACACGGACTCAGCTGCCTCCACCAGCCCCCTTGGCAAGCAGCCATGGCATTGCTCCTCCATCAGGCAATGCCCTGGGGGGGGCCCGGGGCTGCAGGAAGCCCCTGGCCCCAGTCCCACCAGTGCGGGACACGCAGCACGGCTCAGCCAACCCCTCAGGGACGCCCCTGGGCAGTGGCAGCCCTCCAGACACCAGCGTCCCCATGGATGTGGACACCACCCCAGGTCTTGACATCAGTCTGGCCAGCGACGTCAGCATGGATGAGGACAGCCCGTCAGGCCGTGACCTCTCCTTGGCCAGCGACGTCAGCATGGACGAGGACAGCCCGTCAGGCCGTGACCTCTCCTTGGCCAGCGACGTCAGCATGGACGAGGACAGCCCGTCAGGCCGTGACCTCTCGCTGGCCAGCCCGTCAGGCCGTGACGACTGACCCCCATGGATGGTGGCTCCCCCCCAGGCAGTGATCACGTTGCGAGCTGTGACATCTCGCTGAGCAGCGATGTCCCCATGGATGAGGACACCTTCCCGAGGGGTGACATCTCCCTGCCCAGTGACACCACTGCCAGCCACCCAGGCCCACTCCACGGCCAAGCCATCGGGGCCCCTGGGGTGACTCCAGCCAGCGAGCCTGTGCTGCGTGGCAAGGTCCTGCTGGAAGGGACTCGGAGCCACTTGGATTGCTCCCAGGGAGCCGTGGGCACCAGCCAGGATGGTCGCAGCAGCGTCCCCGTGCCCACGGACCATTGTGGCACCAGTGGCACCAGCCCCCAGCCCAAGAACGCCTCGCTCTGCCCGCCCAAGAAGATGCCGCCCACTGAGCGCAGTGTCCCCAAGCCTTCCAGAGCCGTCCTGAGCACGGGACACTGCAACGCGGGCGGCACCAAGCCTCAGGACCCTCAGCAGGGTGCGGGCACGAACCTGCCACCGCCTCAGAGCAGCATGTCACCAAGCAACATCGCTCTGAAAAGACGGGGCACGAAGAGGAAGAGGGGCTCTGAGCCAAGCACTGGGAGCAAGTGCAAGGCTCCCGCAGCCCGGGCTGGGGCAGAAAGTTCTTGAGGGACAGATCGTTTGGGGATCTGTCCCAGGGGGAGGGACAGATCGTTTGGGGATCTGTCCCAGGGGGAGGGACAGATCGTTTGGGGATCTGTCCCGGGGGGGGAGGGACAGATCGTTTGGGGATCTGTCCCGGGGGGGAGGGACAGATCGTTTGGGGATCTGTCCCGGGGAGGGGGGGATAGATCGTTTGGGGATCTGTCCCAGGGGGAGGGATAGATCGTTTGGGGATCTGTCCCAATCTGAGGGAGGGAGGGTGTTGCTGTAGATGTAGATATTGATGACCGTTTTCTTGTGGTTATCAATTAAAAGATTTTATTCCATAAGCTGTCTGTGTCTGCATGGAATGGGGAGGGAGTGCAGGGCGGCAGCGGGAAATGGTCCCAAGCAGATCCGCCAAGGCTGAAAGGGCTCCAAGGGCACCCAAAGGGCACTCCAGGCCTGAGTCAGTGCCGGAGGTGCAGGCATTCATGGAAGGTCCCCTTCCCCTGGGGAAGCAGCCCTTTGGCGTGGGAGCCAGGACAGAGGGGTCCGTGCAGGACTCCCGCACACGGCCCCACACCGAAAACAGCCCTCAGCACAGCCTGGGCACCGTCCTCCCACTCTGGGGCTTTAGAAGGCTGCTCCCGCTGCTCCCAGGGACCTCACCATGTCCCCAGTCATCCCACTGCAGCCCCAGACAGAGCTCCCCCAGGCTGCCCCGGGGCTGCATTGGGCAGGGGCGGTAAGGGAGAGGGAAGAATGTGCTGGGAACCCTAATGCAGGGCCTCACAGAAGTCCAGGGAGACGACATCCGTAGATCTCTGGGAGGCAGCACTTGGAATGTATGGAGCTCTGTCGAGGGGTGGATGGCGAGCCACTCGGCGGTTGATGGGTCAGGATCAAAAGGCAGGCCGGGCATGGGGACACTGCTGAGGGCACTGCGGGGACACCGCGGGCCTCCTGAGCAGCAGCAGGATGGGGATGAGAGCTCCACGGGCAGCTTGAAGCTGCCTCCCAGTCACAGTCCCTGGCTCTCGTGGGGCATTCAACTACCCTGAGAGCAGCTGGAAAAGCAACACAGCCAAGCACAAACAGTCCCGGAGGTTCCTAGAAAGCAGTGGCGACAGCTTCCCGACCCATTGCCTCTCACAAGCAATGCTGTGCCGCTCCACCTCAGACTAACACACAGGAAAGGCCTTGTTGGAGATGGGAGGGTAAGGGACAGCCTTGGCTGTCGAGACCATGGGACTGTGGTCTTCTGAAATTCCAGGTATTGGGAAACACATAAATACCAGGAGACAGAGGAGCTAACTAAGAAGGATAAACTTTTATTCCAATGAAAGGGAGAGTTCACTGAACAAACCTCAGTGAGGCCTCTCAAGTCAGTGGAGGTCGCAGCCCCCTTTTATCCCCTTTGCCCGGAGCGCTGCTCCCTCCCCAGCGTTTCTCCACTGGCTGACATACGCCGGGGTTACAGGCTTCCCGACACGCCTGCTCTGTGTCCCCCATTATGTCCCTCGGAGGGGGCTGGGAAGGTCACTGGGGCTTTTCCAAATGGAGGCCACAGCACACTTCAAAACGGAGGACGTGGCCACCTGAGACCTTCTCTGCTGCTGATCGGTCCCCCTGTCTCTGGGCAAAGGGCACCCCTTGGTAGCCAACAATTGAACCACCAGTAACTTACTGCTTCTTAGTGCAAACTGCGACTACCCTACAAACTTTGCAAGCACACTTTCTTCTTCCTAAGGGTGGAGCTGAGGACTGGGGGAGGAGGAAGCAGGGCAGCATGGAAGATCAGAACACGCACCTCAGGAGAGCTGACTTGAGCCTCTTCAGGGATCTTCTTCCTTGGTGTCTGACGTCCTTTTTTCCCCTCACTCGCTGCTCTAACCCCACAACCTGATTTGCTGCACACCCTGTCTCCTAAACCACCGCCCAGCTAGTCTTTCTTGATGGGCCGAGCTCCTTGTTTCCCTTTGCCCTTCTCCGAATGCCAGGGAATGGGAAACACCCTCATTTTTATGGTTGGGCTCTTGCTGCCCAGCCTCCCTTTCTGCAACAGTTTCACAGTTTTCAATCTGGTCCTGTCCCTGTTTCTTTCAATGCCCAGGTTTTCTCCAAAACAGCCAACTGACACACATGCAATCACTATGCCCAGAACTGCCAGGAGAACTCCGCCAGTTCAGCGGCTCAAGTGGGCAGAAGCTGTCTTGGATGTAGCCTTGCCCGCTTTGAACCTCAAGATTCCACGTGAGGAGCCAGATGCTGAGCACTCCCGAAGAACCCCCTTTCCTAGACCAAATCTCCAACCGCAGCAGATCGCAGCACACACCTAAAGCGCCTTTGACCGCGACCTGACAGAACCCCCTTCTTGTTGTCCACGCTCTCGTCTTCCCATGGAATGGAGAGCAGAAAAAGACTCTCCAGTGTAAGGCCAGAACAGCCAGGTTTACGGCAGAGGCAGAGAAACTGCCCTATCCCTGCCTCCAGGATGGTGAGCCTGCTCCAGGATCCTTCCATCGGGCAGTTTTGGGTGCATTGTGTGGTTTTGTATCAATGTATATGGCTTTCAGCGATGTTAACTTCCAGTGGTGAGAAGTCATGAGATTAGTCCCCGGAATGAGGTGATGACCTTCTGCAACAAGAGTTTGACTTTGAATGGCCAAGGTTTTTATTCCCCTCCTGCTTTCTGCAGGTGCCCCCTGTTTTTCGAGACTCCTAGACTCCTAGAAGAGTTTGTGTCGGAAGGGGCCTTAAAGCTCATCTAGACAAGGTTGCTCCAAGCCCCGCCCGAGCCGGCCTCGAACACTTCCAGGGACGGGGCAGCCACGGCTTCTCTGGACGACCTGTGCCAGGTCCTCACCACGCTCACAGAGAAGAATTTTTTTCCAGAATCCCATCTAATCGTGCCCTCTGCCAGTGTGAAGCCGTTCCACCTTGTTCTGTCACTGCAGTCCCTCGTAAATAGTCTCTCCTATCCAAGCCTTCTTGGTCCTCCCTGTTGTGTTGCAAAATTTGCAAGTTGATGCTGTGCCAGGGCTGTGCCAGCAGCCAAGGGCTGACCCGGGTGCAGGACCTTGCGCTTGAGGTCTGTTGTCGCTGGCTTTGTTCAGCCTGGAGGAGGCTGAGCTGAGATCTCATGGGGGGCTGCAGCTTCCTGCCAAGGGGCAGCAGCGATTTCTGCTGCGTGGGACCAGGGACAGGACCCCAGGGAACGGCTGGAGCTGTGTCGGGGGAGGGTTAGGTTGGATATTAGGAAAAGCTTCTTCCCCCAGAGGGTGGTCGGCCACTGGAACGGGCTCCCCAGGGCAGTGGTCTTGGCCCCAAGGCTGCCAGAGCTCAAGGAGCGTTTGGACAACGCTCTCAGGCACGTGGTGGGGTTGCTGGGCTGTCCTGTGCAAGGCCGGGAGTTGGACTGGATGATCCTTGTGGGTCCCTTCCAGCTCAGGATATTCTGTGATTCTAACTCTTTGGTTAAGCCTTTGTCTCCCCATGAAGAGCTGGCAAAGCTGTTGGGGGTGGGGCAGAACAAGGGAAGCTGCCTCTCTGACATTGTTGCTGCCTCTCTGACATTGTTGCTGCCTCTCTGACATTGTTGCTGCCTCTATGACATGACAGTGGGAGCCCCAACATTCCGTCCCTGGAGACGCTCCAAGAGGAGCATCCAGACCTGGGTCCAGTCAACAGACCGGAGCGGCCGCCGAAGCTGACTGAGCATGGCCCTGTCAGCTCTGTGGCAGCGTTGTGTGAGCTGGAGCTCAGCCATAGCCCAGCTCCTGCAGCCATTGGTCTCTCGCGGAACCTCCTGCCCCACAGGTGAGGACAGACCCTGAGCCCGAAAGCCCCAGGACGCACGGCGGGGACAGTCACAGCCCTTGCTCCCCTGCCCCTTCCCCTCCTCCTCCTCAGTCCTCTGAGCGCCCGACACCCCCCGACTGGCATGTGACCTCCAGCGTTTGCCCTTTCTCGCAGGATCAGCCAACCTCGGCCAACAGCCTGGGCAGAAGCAGCAGCCCTTGCCAGCTCCCTCTGCCCCACCAGCAGGTATGGCAGTCCCATCTGCCTTGGCCCCTCGGCATTCCCTGCCCCCCAGCCCCTCCAGCCTCCAGGCCTGCCCTGGCTCCTCCAGCCCTGCCGGCACCTCCAGCAGCCACAGCACCCCTGTCCCCCTGCCAGCTGGGGCACCTTGGCTCAGCACGGCACGGCAAGCAGCCCTGGCATTGCCTGGGCCACCTCTGTTCAGGCAAGATCGTTTAGAGGATCTTGGGGCCGTCGCTGCCATTTTGCCGTCCCCTGTGCAACCCCATGGCTGTGGCACAGCAGCTCACCCCGCAGGGATGGTCCCTCACTCAAGCTCCCACTCAGTCTGTGTTCCGGGCCGGCTCAGCGGGTGCCCCAGGAGACTCTCCCAGCCCCGAGCCTCCCCCCCAGTCTGCCTTCTCCCCTGTGCACGTGTGCCAATGGCTCCGGGCAGTGACTGCTCCAACCCCCACCCGTATCTTCTGCTCGGCAGGGACACGGACTCAGCTGCCTCCACCAGCCCCCTTGGCAAGCAGCCATGGCATTGCTCCTCCATCAGGCAATGCCCTGGGGGGGGCCCGGGGCTGCAGGAAGCCCCTGGCCCCAGTCCCACCAGTGCGGGACACGCAGCACGGCTCAGCCAACCCCTCAGGGACGCCCCTGGGCAGTGGCAGCCCTCCAGACACCAGCGTCCCCATGGATGTGGACACCACCCCAGGTCTTGACATCAGTCTGGCCAGCGACGTCAGCATGGATGAGGACAGCCCGTCAGGCCGTGACCTCTCCTTGGCCAGCGACGTCAGCATGGACGAGGACAGCCCGTCAGGCCGTGACCTCTCCTTGGCCAGCGACGTCAGCATGGACGAGGACAGCCCGTCAGGCCGTGACCTCTCCTTGGCCAGCGACGTCAGCATGGACGAGGACAGCCCGTCAGGCCGTGACCTCTCGCTGGCCACTGACGACCCCATGGATGGTGGCTCCCCCCCAGGCAGTGATCACGTTGCGAGCTGTGACATCTCGCTGAGCAGCGATGTCCCCATGGATGAGGACACCTTCCCGAGGGGTGACATCTCCCTGCCCAGTGACACCACTGCCAGCCACCCAGGCCCACTCCACGGCCAAGCCATCGGGGCCCCTGGGGTGACTCCAGCCAGCGAGCCTGTGCTGCGTGGCAAGGTCCTGCTGGAAGGGACTCGGAGCCACTTGGATTGCTCCCAGGGAGCCGTGGGCACCAGCCAGGATGGTCGCAGCAGCGTCCCCGTGCCCACGGACCATTGTGGCACCAGTGGCACCAGCCCCCAGCCCAAGAACGCCTCGCTCTGCCCGCCCAAGAAGATGCCGCCCACTGAGCGCAGTGTCCCCAAGCCTTCCAGAGCCGTCCTGAGCCGGGACACTGCAACGCGGGCGGCACCAAGCCTCAGGACCCTCAGCAGGGTGCGGGCACGAACCTGCCACCGCCTCAGAGCAGCATGTCACCAAGCAACATCGCTCTGAAAAGACGGGGCACGAAGAGGAAGAGGGGCTCTGAGCCAAGCACTGGGAGCAAGTGCAAGGCTCCCGCAGCCCGGGCTGGGGCAGAAAGTTCTTGAGGGACAGATCGTTTGGGGATCTGTCCCAGGGGGAGGGACAGATCGTTTGGGGATCTGTCCCAGGGGGAGGGACAGATCGTTTGGGGATCTGTCCCGGGGGGGGAGGGACAGACAGATCGTTTGGGGATCTGTCCCGGGGGGGAGGGGGGGATAGATCGTTTGGGGATCTGTCCCAGGGGGATCGTTTGGGGATCTGTCCCAGGTAGATCGTTTGGGGATCTGTCCCAATCTGAGGGAGGGAGGGTGTTGCTGTAGATGTAGATATTGATGACCGTTTTCTTGTGGTTATCAATTAAAAGATTTTATTCCATAAGCTGTCTGTGTCTGCATGGAATGGGGAGGGAGTGCAGGGCGGCAGCGGGAAATGGTCCCAAGCAGATCCGCCAAGGCTGAAAGGGCTCCAAGGGCACCCAAAGGGCACTCCAGGCCTGAGTCAGTGCCGGAGGTGCAGGCATTCATGGAAGGTCCCCTTCCCCTGGGGAAGCAGCCCTTTGGCGTGGGAGCCAGGACAGAGGGGTCCGTGCAGGACTCCCGCACACGGCCCCACACCGAAAACAGCCCTCAGCACAGCCTGGGCACCGTCCTCCCACTCTGGGGCTTTAGAAGGCTGCTCCCGCTGCTCCCAGGGACCTCACCATGTCCCCAGTCATCCCACTGCAGCCCCAGACAGAGCTCCCCCAGGCTGCCCCGGGGCTGCATTGGGCAGGGGCGGTAAGGGAGAGGGAAGAATGTGCTGGGAACCCTAATGCAGGGCCTCACAGAAGTCCAGGGAGACGACATCCGTAGATCTCTGGGAGGCAGCACTTGGAATGTATGGAGCTCTGTCGAGGGGTGGATGGCGAGCCACTCGGCGGTTGATGGGTCAGGATCAAAAGGCAGGCCGGGCATGGGGACACTGCTGAGGGCACTGCGGGGACACCGCGGGCCTCCTGAGCAGCAGCAGGATGGGGATGAGAGCTCCACGGGCAGCTTGAAGCTGCCTCCCAGTCACAGTCCCTGGCTCTCGTGGGGCATTCAACTACCCTGAGAGCAGCTGGAAAAGCAACACAGCCAAGCACAAACAGTCCCGGAGGTTCCTAGAAAGCAGTGGCGACAGCTTCCCGACCCATTGCCTCTCACAAGCAATGCTGTGCCGCTCCACCTCAGACTAACACACAGGAAAGGCCTTGTTGGAGATGGGAGGGTAAGGGACAGCCTTGGCTGTCGAGACCATGGGACTGTGGTCTTCTGAAATTCCAGGTATTGGGAAACACATAAATACCAGGAGACAGAGGAGCTAACTAAGAAGGATAAACTTTTATTCCAATGAAAGGGAGAGTTCACTGAACAAACCTCAGTGAGGCCTCTCAAGTCAGTGGAGGTCGCAGCCCCCTTTTATCCCCGTGGCCACCTGAGACCTTCTCTGCTGCTGATCGGTCCCCCTGTCTCTGGGCAAAGGGCACCCCTTGGTAGCCAACAATTGAACCACCAGTAACTTACTGCTTCTTAGTGCAAACTGCGACTACCCTACAAACTTTGCAAGCACACTTTCTTCTTCCTAAGGGTGGAGCTGAGGACTGGGGGAGGAGGAAGCAGGGCAGCATGGAAGATCAGAACACGCACCTCAGGAGAGCTGACTTGAGCCTCTTCAGGGATCTTCTTCCTTGGTGTCTGACGTCCTTTTTTCCCCTCACTCGCTGCTCTAACCCCACAACCTGATTTGCTGCACACCCTGTCTCCTAAACCACCGCCCAGCTAGTCTTTCTTGATGGGCCGAGCTCCTTGTTTCCCTTTGCCCTTCTCCGAATGCCAGGGAATGGGAAACACCCTCATTTTTATGGTTGGGCTCTTGCTGCCCAGCCTCCCTTTCTGCAACAGTTTCACAGTTTTCAATCTGGTCCTGTCCCTGTTTCTTTCAATGCCCAGGTTTTCTCCAAAACAGCCAACTGACACACATGCAATCACTATGCCCAGAACTGCCAGGAGAACTCCGCCAGTTCAGCGGCTCAAGTGGGCAGAAGCTGTCTTGGATGTAGCCTTGCCCGCTTTGAACCTCAAGATTCCACGTGAGGAGCCAGATGCTGAGCACTCCCGAAGAACCCCCTTTCCTAGACCAAATCTCCAACCGCAGCAGATCGCAGCACACACCTAAAGCGCCTTTGACCGCGACCTGACAGAACCCCCTTCTTGTTGTCCACGCTCTTGTCTTCCCATGGAATGGAGAGCAGAAAAAGACTCTCCAGTGTAAGGCCAGAACAGCCAGGTTTACGGCAGAGGCAGAGAAACTGCCCTATCCCTGCCTCCAGGATGGTGAGCCTGCTCCAGGATCCTTCCATCGGGCAGTTTTGGGTGCATTGTGTGGTTTTGTATCAATGTATATGGCTTTCAGCGATGTTAACTTCCAGTGGTGAGAAGTCATGAGATTAGTCCCCGGAATGAGGTGATGACCTTCTGCAACAAGAGTTTGACTTTGAATGGCCAAGGTTTTTATTCCCCTCCTGCTTTCTGCAGGTGCCCCCTGTTTTTCGAGACTCCTAGACTCCTAGAAGAGTTTGTGTCGGAAGGGGCCTTAAAGCTCATCTAGACAAGGTTGCTCCAAGCCCCGCCCGAGCCGGCCTCGAACACTTCCAGGGACGGGGCAGCCACGGCTTCTCTGGACGACCTGTGCCAGGTCCTCACCACGCTCACAGAGAAGAATTTTTTTCCAGAATCCCATCTAATCGTGCCCTCTGCCAGTGTGAAGCCGTTCCGCCTTGTTCTGTCACTGCAGTCCCTCGTAAATAGTCTCTCCTATCCAAGCCTTCTTGGTCCTCCCTGTTGTGTTGCAAAATTTGCAAGTTGATGCTGTGCCAGGGCTGTGCCAGCAGCCAAGGGCTGACCCGGGTGCAGGACCTTGCGCTTGAGGTCTGTTGTCGCTGGCTTTGTTCAGCCTGGAGGAGGCTGAGCTGAGATCTCATGGGGGGCTGCAGCTTCCTGCCAAGGGGCAGCAGCGATTTCTGCTGCGTGGGACCAGGGACAGGACCCCAGGGAACGGCTGGAGCTGTGTCGGGGGAGGGTTAGGTTGGATATTAGGAAAAGCTTCTTCCCCCAGAGGGTGGTCGGCCACTGGAACGGGCTCCCCAGGGCAGTGGTCTTGGCCCCAAGGCTGCCAGAGCTCAAGGAGCGTTTGGACAACGCTCTCAGGCACGTGGTGGGGTTGCTGGGCTGTCCTGTGCAAGGCCGGGAGTTGGACTGGATGATCCTTGTGGGTCCCTTCCAGCTCAGGATATTCTGTGATTCTAACTCTTTGGTTAAGCCTTTGTCTCCCCATGAAGAGCTGGCAAAGCTGTTGGGGGTGGGGCAGAACAAGGGAAGCTGCCTCTCTGACATTGTTGCTGCCTCTCTGACATTGTTGCTGCCTCTCTGACATTGTTGCTGCCTCTATGACATGACAGTGGGAGCCCCAACATTCCGTCCCTGGAGACGCTCCAAGAGGAGCATCCAGACCTGGGTCCAGTCAACAGACCGGAGCGGCCGCCGAAGCTGACTGAGCATGGCCCTGTCAGCTCTGTGGCAGCGTTGTGTGAGCTGGAGCTCAGCCATAGCCCAGCTCCTGCAGCCATTGGTCTCTCGCGGAACCTCCTGCCCCACAGGTGAGGACAGACCCTGAGCCCGAAAGCCCCAGGACGCACGGCGGGGACAGTCACAGCCCTTGCTCCCCTGCCCCTTCCCCTCCTCCTCCTCAGTCCTCTGAGCGCCCGACACCCCCCGACTGGCATGTGACCTCCAGCGTTTGCCCTTTCTCGCAGGATCAGCCAACCTCGGCCAACAGCCTGGGCAGAAGCAGCAGCCCTTGCCAGCTCCCTCTGCCCCACCAGCAGGTATGGCAGTCCCATCTGCCTTGGCCCCTCGGCATTCCCTGCCCCCCAGCCCCTCCAGCCTCCAGGCCTGCCCTGGCTCCTCCAGCCCTGCCGGCACCTCCAGCAGCCACAGCACCCCTGTCCCCCTGCCAGCTGGGGCACCTTGGCTCAGCACGGCACGGCAAGCAGCCCTGGCATTGCCTGGGCCACCTCTGTTCAGGCAAGATCGTTTAGAGGATCTTGGGGCCGTCGCTGCCATTTTGCCGTCCCCTGTGCAACCCCATGGCTGTGGCACAGCAGCTCACCCCGCAGGGATGGTCCCTCACTCAAGCTCCCACTCAGTCTGTGTTCCGGGCCGGCTCAGCGGGTGCCCCAGGAGACTCTCCCAGCCCCGAGCCTCCCCCCCAGTCTGCCTTCTCCCCTGTGCACGTGTGCCAATGGCTCCGGGCAGTGACTGCTCCAACCCCCACCCGTATCTTCTGCTCGGCAGGGACACGGACTCAGCTGCCTCCACCAGCCCCCTTGGCAAGCAGCCATGGCATTGCTCCTCCATCAGGCAATGCCCTGGGGGGGGCCCGGGGCTGCAGGAAGCCCCTGGCCCCAGTCCCACCAGTGCGGGACACGCAGCACGGCTCAGCCAACCCCTCAGGGACGCCCCTGGGCAGTGGCAGCCCTCCAGACACCAGCGTCCCCATGGATGTGGACACCACCCCAGGTCTTGACATCAGTCTGGCCAGCGACGTCAGCATGGATGAGGACAGCCCGTCAGGCCGTGACCTCTCCTTGGCCAGCGACGTCAGCATGGACGAGGACAGCCCGTCAGGCCGTGACCTCTCCTTGGCCAGCGACGTCAGCATGGACGAGGACAGCCCGTCAGGCCGTGACCTCTCGCTGGCCACTGACGACCCCATGGATGGTGGCTCCCCCCCAGGCAGTGATCACGTTGCGAGCTGTGACATCTCGCTGAGCAGCGATGTCCCCATGGATGAGGACACCTTCCCGAGGGGTGACATCTCCCTGCCCAGTGACACCACTGCCAGCCACCCAGGCCCACTCCACGGCCAAGCCATCGGGGCCCCTGGGGTGACTCCAGCCAGCGAGCCTGTGCTGCGTGGCAAGGTCCTGCTGGAAGGGACTCGGAGCCACTTGGATTGCTCCCAGGGAGCCGTGGGCACCAGCCAGGATGGTCGCAGCAGCGTCCCCGTGCCCACGGACCATTGTGGCACCAGTGGCACCAGCCCCCAGCCCAAGAACGCCTCGCTCTGCCCGCCCAAGAAGATGCCGCCCACTGAGCGCAGTGTCCCCAAGCCTTCCAGAGCCGTCCTGAGCCCGGGACACTGCAACGCGGGCGGCACCAAGCCTCAGGACCCTCAGCAGGGTGCGGGCACGAACCTGCCACCGCCTCAGAGCAGCATGTCACCAAGCAACATCGCTCTGAAAAGACGGGGCACGAAGAGGAAGAGGGGCTCTGAGCCAAGCACTGGGAGCAAGTGCAAGGCTCCCGCAGCCCGGGCTGGGGCAGAAAGTTCTTGAGGGACAGATCGTTTGGGGATCTGTCCCAGGGGGAGGGACAGATCGTTTGGGGATCTGTCCCGGGGGGGGAGGGACAGATCGTTTGGGGATCTGTCCCGGGGGGGGAGGGACAGATCGTTTGGGGATCTGTCCCGGGGGGGAGGGACAGATCGTTTGGGGATCTGTCCCGGGGAGGGGGGGATAGATCGTTTGGGGATCTGTCCCAGGGGGAGGGATAGATCGTTTGGGGATCTGTCCCGGGGAGGGGGGGATAGATCGTTTGGGGATCTGTCCCAGGGGGAGGGATAGATCGTTTGGGGATCTGTCCCAATCTGAGGGAGGGAGGGTGTTGCTGTAGATGTAGATATTGATGACCGTTTTCTTGTGGTTATCAATTAAAAGATTTTATTCCATAAGCTGTCTGTGTCTGCATGGAATGGGGAGGGAGTGCAGGGCGGCAGCGGGAAATGGTCCCAAGCAGATCCGCCAAGGCTGAAAGGGCTCCAAGGGCACCCAAAGGGCACTCCAGGCCTGAGTCAGTGCCGGAGGTGCAGGCATTCATGGAAGGTCCCCTTCCCCTGGGGAAGCAGCCCTTTGGCGTGGGAGCCAGGACAGAGGGGTCCGTGCAGGACTCCCGCACACGGCCCCACACCGAAAACAGCCCTCAGCACAGCCTGGGCACCGTCCTCCCACTCTGGGGCTTTAGAAGGCTGCTCCCGCTGCTCCCAGGGACCTCACCATGTCCCCAGTCATCCCACTGCAGCCCCAGACAGAGCTCCCCCAGGCTGCCCCGGGGCTGCATTGGGCAGGGGCGGTAAGGGAGAGGGAAGAATGTGCTGGGAACCCTAATGCAGGGCCTCACAGAAGTCCAGGGAGACGACATCCGTAGATCTCTGGGAGGCAGCACTTGGAATGTATGGAGCTCTGTCGAGGGGTGGATGGCGAGCCACTCGGCGGTTGATGGGTCAGGATCAAAAGGCAGGCCGGGCATGGGGACACTGCTGAGGGCACTGCGGGGACACCGCGGGCCTCCTGAGCAGCAGCAGGATGGGGATGAGAGCTCCACGGGCAGCTTGAAGCTGCCTCCCAGTCACAGTCCCTGGCTCTCGTGGGGCATTCAACTACCCTGAGAGCAGCTGGAAAAGCAACACAGCCAAGCACAAACAGTCCCGGAGGTTCCTAGAAAGCAGTGGCGACAGCTTCCCGACCCATTGCCTCTCACAAGCAATGCTGTGCCGCTCCACCTCAGACTAACACACAGGAAAGGCCTTGTTGGAGATGGGAGGGTAAGGGACAGCCTTGGCTGTCGAGACCATGGGACTGTGGTCTTCTGAAATTCCAGGTATTGGGAAACACATAAATACCAGGAGACAGAGGAGCTAACTAAGAAGGATAAACTTTTATTCCAATGAAAGGGAGAGTTCACTGAACAAACCTCAGTGAGGCCTCTCAAGTCAGTGGAGGTCGCAGCCCCCTTTTATCCCCGTGGCCACCTGAGACCTTCTCTGCTGCTGATCGGTCCCCCTGTCTCTGGGCAAAGGGCACCCCTTGGTAGCCAACAATTGAACCACCAGTAACTTACTGCTTCTTAGTGCAAACTGCGACTACCCTACAAACTTTGCAAGCACACTTTCTTCTTCCTAAGGGTGGAGCTGAGGACTGGGGGAGGAGGAAGCAGGGCAGCATGGAAGATCAGAACACGCACCTCAGGAGAGCTGACTTGAGCCTCTTCAGGGATCTTCTTCCTTGGTGTCTGACGTCCTTTTTTCCCCTCACTCGCTGCTCTAACCCCACAACCTGATTTGCTGCACACCCTGTCTCCTAAACCACCGCCCAGCTAGTCTTTCTTGATGGGCCGAGCTCCTTGTTTCCCTTTGCCCTTCTCCGAATGCCAGGGAATGGGAAACACCCTCATTTTTATGGTTGGGCTCTTGCTGCCCAGCCTCCCTTTCTGCAACAGTTTCACAGTTTTCAATCTGGTCCTGTCCCTGTTTCTTTCAATGCCCAGGTTTTCTCCAAAACAGCCAACTGACACACATGCAATCACTATGCCCAGAACTGCCAGGAGAACTCCGCCAGTTCAGCGGCTCAAGTGGGCAGAAGCTGTCTTGGATGTAGCCTTGCCCGCTTTGAACCTCAAGATTCCACGTGAGGAGCCAGATGCTGAGCACTCCCGAAGAACCCCCTTTCCTAGACCAAATCTCCAACCGCAGCAGATCGCAGCACACACCTAAAGCGCCTTTGACCGCGACCTGACAGAACCCCCTTCTTGTTGTCCACGCTCTTGTCTTCCCATGGAATGGAGAGCAGAAAAAGACTCTCCAGTGTAAGGCCAGAACAGCCAGGTTTACGGCAGAGGCAGAGAAACTGCCCTATCCCTGCCTCCAGGATGGTGAGCCTGCTCCAGGATCCTTCCATCGGGCAGTTTTGGGTGCATTGTGTGGTTTTGTATCAATGTATATGGCTTTCAGCGATGTTAACTTCCAGTGGTGAGAAGTCATGAGATTAGTCCCCGGAATGAGGTGATGACCTTCTGCAACAAGAGTTTGACTTTGAATGGCCAAGGTTTTTATTCCCCTCCTGCTTTCTGCAGGTGCCCCCTGTTTTTCGAGACTCCTAGACTCCTAGAAGAGTTTGTGTCGGAAGGGGCCTTAAAGCTCATCTAGACAAGGTTGCTCCAAGCCCCGCCCGAGCCGGCCTCGAACACTTCCAGGGACGGGGCAGCCACGGCTTCTCTGGACGACCTGTGCCAGGTCCTCACCACGCTCACAGAGAAGAATTTTTTTCCAGAATCCCATCTAATCGTGCCCTCTGCCAGTGTGAAGCCGTTCCACCTTGTTCTGTCACTGCAGTCCCTCGTAAATAGTCTCTCCTATCCAAGCCTTCTTGGTCCTCCCTGTTGTGTTGCAAAATTTGCAAGTTGATGCTGTGCCAGGGCTGTGCCAGCAGCCAAGGGCTGACCCGGGTGCAGGACCTTGCGCTTGAGGTCTGTTGTCGCTGGCTTTGTTCAGCCTGGAGGAGGCTGAGCTGAGATCTCATGGGGGGCTGCAGCTTCCTGCCAAGGGGCAGCAGCGATTTCTGCTGCGTGGGACCAGGGACAGGACCCCAGGGAACGGCTGGAGCTGTGTCGGGGGAGGGTTAGGTTGGATATTAGGAAAAGCTTCTTCCCCCAGAGGGTGGTCGGCCACTGGAACGGGCTCCCCAGGGCAGTGGTCTTGGCCCCAAGGCTGCCAGAGCTCAAGGAGCGTTTGGACAACGCTCTCAGGCACGTGGTGGGGTTGCTGGGCTGTCCTGTGCAAGGCCGGGAGTTGGACTGGATGATCCTTGTGGGTCCCTTCCAGCTCAGGATATTCTGTGATTCTAACTCTTTGGTTAAGCCTTTGTCTCCCCATGAAGAGCTGGCAAAGCTGTTGGGGGTGGGGCAGAACAAGGGAAGCTGCCTCTCTGACATTGTTGCTGCCTCTCTGACATTGTTGCTGCCTCTCTGACATTGTTGCTGCCTCTATGACATGACAGTGGGAGCCCCAACATTCCGTCCCTGGAGACGCTCCAAGAGGAGCATCCAGACCTGGGTCCAGTCAACAGACCGGAGCGGCCGCCGAAGCTGACTGAGCATGGCCCTGTCAGCTCTGTGGCAGCGTTGTGTGAGCTGGAGCTCAGCCATAGCCCAGCTCCTGCAGCCATTGGTCTCTCGCGGAACCTCCTGCCCCACAGGTGAGGACAGACCCTGAGCCCGAAAGCCCCAGGACGCACGGCGGGGACAGTCACAGCCCTTGCTCCCCTGCCCCTTCCCCTCCTCCTCCTCAGTCCTCTGAGCGCCCGACACCCCCCGACTGGCATGTGACCTCCAGCGTTTGCCCTTTCTCGCAGGATCAGCCAACCTCGGCCAACAGCCTGGGCAGAAGCAGCAGCCCTTGCCAGCTCCCTCTGCCCCACCAGCAGGTATGGCAGTCCCATCTGCCTTGGCCCCTCGGCATTCCCTGCCCCCCAGCCCCTCCAGCCTCCAGGCCTGCCCTGGCTCCTCCAGCCCTGCCGGCACCTCCAGCAGCCACAGCACCCCTGTCCCCCTGCCAGCTGGGGCACCTTGGCTCAGCACGGCACGGCAAGCAGCCCTGGCATTGCCTGGGCCACCTCTGTTCAGGCAAGATCGTTTAGAGGATCTTGGGGCCGTCGCTGCCATTTTGCCGTCCCCTGTGCAACCCCATGGCTGTGGCACAGCAGCTCACCCCGCAGGGATGGTCCCTCACTCAAGCTCCCACTCAGTCTGTGTTCCGGGCCGGCTCAGCGGGTGCCCCAGGAGACTCTCCCAGCCCCGAGCCTCCCCCCCAGTCTGCCTTCTCCCCTGTGCACGTGTGCCAATGGCTCCGGGCAGTGACTGCTCCAACCCCCACCCGTATCTTCTGCTCGGCAGGGACACGGACTCAGCTGCCTCCACCAGCCCCCTTGGCAAGCAGCCATGGCATTGCTCCTCCATCAGGCAATGCCCTGGGGGGGGCCCGGGGCTGCAGGAAGCCCCTGGCCCCAGTCCCACCAGTGCGGGACACGCAGCACGGCTCAGCCAACCCCTCAGGGACGCCCCTGGGCAGTGGCAGCCCTCCAGACACCAGCGTCCCCATGGATGTGGACACCACCCCAGGTCTTGACATCAGTCTGGCCAGCGACGTCAGCATGGATGAGGACAGCCCGTCAGGCCGTGACCTCTCCTTGGCCAGCGACGTCAGCATGGACGAGGACAGCCCGTCAGGCCGTGACCTCTCCTTGGCCAGCGACGTCAGCATGGACGAGGACAGCCCGTCAGGCCGTGACCTCTCCTTGGCCAGCGACGTCAGCATGGACGAGGACAGCCCGTCAGGCCGTGACCTCTCGCTGGCCACTGACGACCCCATGGATGGTGGCTCCCCCCCAGGCAGTGATCACGTTGCGAGCTGTGACATCTCGCTGAGCAGCGATGTCCCCATGGATGAGGACACCTTCCCGAGGGGTGACATCTCCCTGCCCAGTGACACCACTGCCAGCCACCCAGGCCCACTCCACGGCCAAGCCATCGGGGCCCCTGGGGTGACTCCAGCCAGCGAGCCTGTGCTGCGTGGCAAGGTCCTGCTGGAAGGGACTCGGAGCCACTTGGATTGCTCCCAGGGAGCCGTGGGCACCAGCCAGGATGGTCGCAGCAGCGTCCCCGTGCCCACGGACCATTGTGGCACCAGTGGCACCAGCCCCCAGCCCAAGAACGCCTCGCTCTGCCCGCCCAAGAAGATGCCGCCCACTGAGCGCAGTGTCCCCAAGCCTTCCAGAGCCGTCCTGAGCACGGGACACTGCAACGCGGGCGGCACCAAGCCTCAGGACCCTCAGCAGGGTGCGGGCACGAACCTGCCACCGCCTCAGAGCAGCATGTCACCAAGCAACATCGCTCTGAAAAGACGGGGCACGAAGAGGAAGAGGGGCTCTGAGCCAAGCACTGGGAGCAAGTGCAAGGCTCCCGCAGCCCGGGCTGGGGCAGAAAGTTCTTGAGGGACAGATCGTTTGGGGATCTGTCCCAGGGGGAGGGACAGATCGTTTGGGGATCTGTCCCAGGGGGAGGGACAGATCGTTTGGGGATCTGTCCCGGGGGGGGAGGGACAGATCGTTTGGGGATCTGTCCCGGGGAGGGAGGGATAGATCGTTTGGGGATCTGTCCCGGGGAGGGGGAGGGGGGATAGATCGTTTGGGGATCTGTCCCAATCTGAGGGAGGGAGGGTGTTGCTGTAGATGTAGATATTGATGACCGTTTTCTTGTGGTTATCAATTAAAAGATTTTATTCCATAAGCTGTCTGTGTCTGCATGGAATGGGGAGGGAGTGCAGGGCGGCAGCGGGAAATGGTCCCAAGCAGATCCGCCAAGGCTGAAAGGGCTCCAAGGGCACCCAAAGGGCACTCCAGGCCTGAGTCAGTGCCGGAGGTGCAGGCATTCATGGAAGGTCCCCTTCCCCTGGGGAAGCAGCCCTTTGGCGTGGGAGCCAGGACAGAGGGGTCCGTGCAGGACTCCCGCACACGGCCCCACACCGAAAACAGCCCTCAGCACAGCCTGGGCACCGTCCTCCCACTCTGGGGCTTTAGAAGGCTGCTCCCGCTGCTCCCAGGGACCTCACCATGTCCCCAGTCATCCCACTGCAGCCCCAGACAGAGCTCCCCCAGGCTGCCCCGGGGCTGCATTGGGCAGGGGCGGTAAGGGAGAGGGAAGAATGTGCTGGGAACCCTAATGCAGGGCCTCACAGAAGTCCAGGGAGACGACATCCGTAGATCTCTGGGAGGCAGCACTTGGAATGTATGGAGCTCTGTCGAGGGGTGGATGGCGAGCCACTCGGCGGTTGATGGGTCAGGATCAAAAGGCAGGCCGGGCATGGGGACACTGCTGAGGGCACTGTGGGGACACCGCGGGCCTCCTGAGCAGCAGCAGGATGGGGATGAGAGCTCCACGGGCAGCTTGAAGCTGCCTCCCAGTCACAGTCCCTGGCTCTCGTGGGGCATTCAACTACCCTGAGAGCAGCTGGAAAAGCAACACAGCCAAGCACAAACAGTCCCGGAGGTTCCTAGAAAGCAGTGGCGACAGCTTCCCGACCCATTGCCTCTCACAAGCAATGCTGTGCCGCTCCACCTCAGACTAACACACAGGAAAGGCCTTGTTGGAGATGGGAGGGTAAGGGACAGCCTTGGCTGTCGAGACCATGGGACTGTGGTCTTCTGAAATTCCAGGTATTGGGAAACACATAAATACCAGGAGACAGAGGAGCTAACTAAGAAGGATAAACTTTTATTCCAATGAAAGGGAGAGTTCACTGAACAAACCTCAGTGAGGCCTCTCAAGTCAGTGGAGGTCGCAGCCCCCTTTTATCCCCTTTGCCCGGAGCGCTGCTCCCTCCCCAGCGTTTCTCCACTGGCTGACATACGCCGGGGTTACAGGCTTCCCGACACGCCTGCTCTGTGTCCCCCATTATGTCCCTCGGAGGGGGCTGGGAAGGTCACTGGGGCTTTTCCAAATGGAGGCCACAGCACACTTCAAAACGGAGGACGTGGCCACCTGAGACCTTCTCTGCTGCTGATCGGTCCCCCTGTCTCTGGGCAAAGGGCACCCCTTGGTAGCCAACAATTGAACCACCAGTAACTTACTGCTTCTTAGTGCAAACTGCGACTACCCTACAAACTTTGCAAGCACACTTTCTTCTTCCTAAGGGTGGAGCTGAGGACTGGGGGAGGAGGAAGCAGGGCAGCATGGAAGATCAGAACACGCACCTCAGGAGAGCTGACTTGAGCCTCTTCAGGGATCTTCTTCCTTGGTGTCTGACGTCCTTTTTTCCCCTCACTCGCTGCTCTAACCCCACAACCTGATTTGCTGCACACCCTGTCTCCTAAACCACCGCCCAGCTAGTCTTTCTTGATGGGCCGAGCTCCTTGTTTCCCTTTGCCCTTCTCCGAATGCCAGGGAATGGGAAACACCCTCATTTTTATGGTTGGGCTCTTGCTGCCCAGCCTCCCTTTCTGCAACAGTTTCACAGTTTTCAATCTGGTCCTGTCCCTGTTTCTTTCAATGCCCAGGTTTTCTCCAAAACAGCCAACTGACACACATGCAATCACTATGCCCAGAACTGCCAGGAGAACTCCGCCAGTTCAGCGGCTCAAGTGGGCAGAAGCTGTCTTGGATGTAGCCTTGCCCGCTTTGAACCTCAAGATTCCACGTGAGGAGCCAGATGCTGAGCACTCCCGAAGAACCCCCTTTCCTAGACCAAATCTCCAACCGCAGCAGATCGCAGCACACACCTAAAGCGCCTTTGACCGCGACCTGACAGAACCCCCTTCTTGTTGTCCACGCTCTTGTCTTCCCATGGAATGGAGAGCAGAAAAAGACTCTCCAGTGTAAGGCCAGAACAGCCAGGTTTACGGCAGAGGCAGAGAAACTGCCCTATCCCTGCCTCCAGGATGGTGAGCCTGCTCCAGGATCCTTCCATCGGGCAGTTTTGGGTGCATTGTGTGGTTTTGTATCAATGTATATGGCTTTCAGCGATGTTAACTTCCAGTGGTGAGAAGTCATGAGATTAGTCCCCGGAATGAGGTGATGACCTTCTGCAACAAGAGTTTGACTTTGAATGGCCAAGGTTTTTATTCCCCTCCTGCTTTCTGCAGGTGCCCCCTGTTTTTCGAGACTCCTAGACTCCTAGAAGAGTTTGTGTCGGAAGGGGCCTTAAAGCTCATCTAGACAAGGTTGCTCCAAGCCCCGCCCGAGCCGGCCTCGAACACTTCCAGGGACGGGGCAGCCACGGCTTCTCTGGACGACCTGTGCCAGGTCCTCACCACGCTCACAGAGAAGAATTTTTTTCCAGAATCCCATCTAATCGTGCCCTCTGCCAGTGTGAAGCCGTTCCGCCTTGTTCTGTCACTGCAGTCCCTCGTAAATAGTCTCTCCTATCCAAGCCTTCTTGGTCCTCCCTGTTGTGTTGCAAAATTTGCAAGTTGATGCTGTGCCAGGGCTGTGCCAGCAGCCAAGGGCTGACCCGGGTGCAGGACCTTGCGCTTGAGGTCTGTTGTCGCTGGCTTTGTTCAGCCTGGAGGAGGCTGAGCTGAGATCTCATGGGGGGCTGCAGCTTCCTGCCAAGGGGCAGCAGCGATTTCTGCTGCGTGGGACCAGGGACAGGACCCCAGGGAACGGCTGGAGCTGTGTCGGGGGAGGGTTAGGTTGGATATTAGGAAAAGCTTCTTCCCCCAGAGGGTGGTCGGCCACTGGAACGGGCTCCCCAGGGCAGTGGTCTTGGCCCCAAGGCTGCCAGAGCTCAAGGAGCGTTTGGACAACGCTCTCAGGCACGTGGTGGGGTTGCTGGGCTGTCCTGTGCAAGGCCGGGAGTTGGACTGGATGATCCTTGTGGGTCCCTTCCAGCTCAGGATATTCTGTGATTCTAACTCTTTGGTTAAGCCTTTGTCTCCCCATGAAGAGCTGGCAAAGCTGTTGGGGGTGGGGCAGAACAAGGGAAGCTGCCTCTCTGACATTGTTGCTGCCTCTCTGACATTGTTGCTGCCTCTCTGACATTGTTGCTGCCTCTATGACATGACAGTGGGAGCCCCAACATTCCGTCCCTGGAGACGCTCCAAGAGGAGCATCCAGACCTGGGTCCAGTCAACAGACCGGAGCGGCCGCCGAAGCTGACTGAGCATGGCCCTGTCAGCTCTGTGGCAGCGTTGTGTGAGCTGGAGCTCAGCCATAGCCCAGCTCCTGCAGCCATTGGTCTCTCGCGGAACCTCCTGCCCCACAGGTGAGGACAGACCCTGAGCCCGAAAGCCCCAGGACGCACGGCGGGGACAGTCACAGCCCTTGCTCCCCTGCCCCTTCCCCTCCTCCTCCTCAGTCCTCTGAGCGCCCGACACCCCCCGACTGGCATGTGACCTCCAGCGTTTGCCCTTTCTCGCAGGATCAGCCAACCTCGGCCAACAGCCTGGGCAGAAGCAGCAGCCCTTGCCAGCTCCCTCTGCCCCACCAGCAGGTATGGCAGTCCCATCTGCCTTGGCCCCTCGGCATTCCCTGCCCCCCAGCCCCTCCAGCCTCCAGGCCTGCCCTGGCTCCTCCAGCCCTGCCGGCACCTCCAGCAGCCACAGCACCCCTGTCCCCCTGCCAGCTGGGGCACCTTGGCTCAGCACGGCACGGCAAGCAGCCCTGGCATTGCCTGGGCCACCTCTGTTCAGGCAAGATCGTTTAGAGGATCTTGGGGCCGTCGCTGCCATTTTGCCGTCCCCTGTGCAACCCCATGGCTGTGGCACAGCAGCTCACCCCGCAGGGATGGTCCCTCACTCAAGCTCCCACTCAGTCTGTGTTCCGGGCCGGCTCAGCGGGTGCCCCAGGAGACTCTCCCAGCCCCGAGCCTCCCCCCCAGTCTGCCTTCTCCCCTGTGCACGTGTGCCAATGGCTCCGGGCAGTGACTGCTCCAACCCCCACCCGTATCTTCTGCTCGGCAGGGACACGGACTCAGCTGCCTCCACCAGCCCCCTTGGCAAGCAGCCATGGCATTGCTCCTCCATCAGGCAATGCCCTGGGGGGGGCCCGGGGCTGCAGGAAGCCCCTGGCCCCAGTCCCACCAGTGCGGGACACGCAGCACGGCTCAGCCAACCCCTCAGGGACGCCCCTGGGCAGTGGCAGCCCTCCAGACACCAGCGTCCCCATGGATGTGGACACCACCCCAGGTCTTGACATCAGTCTGGCCAGCGACGTCAGCATGGATGAGGACAGCCCGTCAGGCCGTGACCTCTCCTTGGCCAGCGACGTCAGCATGGACGAGGACAGCCCGTCAGGCCGTGACCTCTCCTTGGCCAGCGACGTCAGCATGGACGAGGACAGCCCGTCAGGCCGTGACCTCTCCTTGGCCAGCGACGTCAGCATGGACGAGGACAGCCCGTCAGGCCGTGACCTCTCGCTGGCCACTGACGACCCCATGGATGGTGGCTCCCCCCCAGGCAGTGATCACGTTGCGAGCTGTGACATCTCGCTGAGCAGCGATGTCCCCATGGATGAGGACACCTTCCCGAGGGGTGACATCTCCCTGCCCAGTGACACCACTGCCAGCCACCCAGGCCCACTCCACGGCCAAGCCATCGGGGCCCCTGGGGTGACTCCAGCCAGCGAGCCTGTGCTGCGTGGCAAGGTCCTGCTGGAAGGGACTCGGAGCCACTTGGATTGCTCCCAGGGAGCCGTGGGCACCAGCCAGGATGGTCGCAGCAGCGTCCCCGTGCCCACGGACCATTGTGGCACCAGTGGCACCAGCCCCCAGCCCAAGAACGCCTCGCTCTGCCCGCCCAAGAAGATGCCGCCCACTGAGCGCAGTGTCCCCAAGCCTTCCAGAGCCGTCCTGAGCACGGGACACTGCAACGCGGGCGGCACCAAGCCTCAGGACCCTCAGCAGGGTGCGGGCACGAACCTGCCACCGCCTCAGAGCAGCATGTCACCAAGCAACATCGCTCTGAAAAGACGGGGCACGAAGAGGAAGAGGGGCTCTGAGCCAAGCACTGGGAGCAAGTGCAAGGCTCCCGCAGCCCGGGCTGGGGCAGAAAGTTCTTGAGGGACAGATCGTTTGGGGATCTGTCCCAGGGGGAGGGACAGATCGTTTGGGGATCTGTCCCGGGGGGGGAGGGACAGATCGTTTGGGGATCTGTCCCGGGGGGGAGGGACAGATCGTTTGGGGATCTGTCCCGGGGAGGGGGGGATAGATCGTTTGGGGATCTGTCCCAGGGGGAGGGATAGATCGTTTGGGGATCTGTCCCAATCTGAGGGAGGGAGGGTGTTGCTGTAGATGTAGATATTGATGACCGTTTTCTTGTGGTTATCAATTAAAAGATTTTATTCCATAAGCTGTCTGTGTCTGCATGGAATGGGGAGGGAGTGCAGGGCGGCAGCGGGAAATGGTCCCAAGCAGATCCGCCAAGGCTGAAAGGGCTCCAAGGGCACCCAAAGGGCACTCCAGGCCTGAGTCAGTGCCGGAGGTGCAGGCATTCATGGAAGGTCCCCTTCCCCTGGGGAAGCAGCCCTTTGGCGTGGGAGCCAGGACAGAGGGGTCCGTGCAGGACTCCCGCACACGGCCCCACACCGAAAACAGCCCTCAGCACAGCCTGGGCACCGTCCTCCCACTCTGGGGCTTTAGAAGGCTGCTCCCGCTGCTCCCAGGGACCTCACCATGTCCCCAGTCATCCCACTGCAGCCCCAGACAGAGCTCCCCCAGGCTGCCCCGGGGCTGCATTGGGCAGGGGCGGTAAGGGAGAGGGAAGAATGTGCTGGGAACCCTAATGCAGGGCCTCACAGAAGTCCAGGGAGACGACATCCGTAGATCTCTGGGAGGCAGCACTTGGAATGTATGGAGCTCTGTCGAGGGGTGGATGGCGAGCCACTCGGCGGTTGATGGGTCAGGATCAAAAGGCAGGCCGGGCATGGGGACACTGCTGAGGGCACTGCGGGGACACCGCGGGCCTCCTGAGCAGCAGCAGGATGGGGATGAGAGCTCCACGGGCAGCTTGAAGCTGCCTCCCAGTCACAGTCCCTGGCTCTCGTGGGGCATTCAACTACCCTGAGAGCAGCTGGAAAAGCAACACAGCCAAGCACAAACAGTCCCGGAGGTTCCTAGAAAGCAGTGGCGACAGCTTCCCGACCCATTGCCTCTCACAAGCAATGCTGTGCCGCTCCACCTCAGACTAACACACAGGAAAGGCCTTGTTGGAGATGGGAGGGTAAGGGACAGCCTTGGCTGTCGAGACCATGGGACTGTGGTCTTCTGAAATTCCAGGTATTGGGAAACACATAAATACCAGGAGACAGAGGAGCTAACTAAGAAGGATAAACTTTTATTCCAATGAAAGGGAGAGTTCACTGAACAAACCTCAGTGAGGCCTCTCAAGTCAGTGGAGGTCGCAGCCCCCTTTTATCCCCTTTGCCCGGAGCGCTGCTCCCTCCCCAGCGTTTCTCCACTGGCTGACATACGCCGGGGTTACAGGCTTCCCGACACGCCTGCTCTGTGTCCCCCATTATGTCCCTCGGAGGGGGCTGGGAAGGTCACTGGGGCTTTTCCAAATGGAGGCCACAGCACACTTCAAAACGGAGGACGTGGCCACCTGAGACCTTCTCTGCTGCTGATCGGTCCCCCTGTCTCTGGGCAAAGGGCACCCCTTGGTAGCCAACAATTGAACCACCAGTAACTTACTGCTTCTTAGTGCAAACTGCGACTACCCTACAAACTTTGCAAGCACACTTTCTTCTTCCTAAGGGTGGAGCTGAGGACTGGGGGAGGAGGAAGCAGGGCAGCATGGAAGATCAGAACACGCACCTCAGGAGAGCTGACTTGAGCCTCTTCAGGGATCTTCTTCCTTGGTGTCTGACGTCCTTTTTTCCCCTCACTCGCTGCTCTAACCCCACAACCTGATTTGCTGCACACCCTGTCTCCTAAACCACCGCCCAGCTAGTCTTTCTTGATGGGCCGAGCTCCTTGTTTCCCTTTGCCCTTCTCCGAATGCCAGGGAATGGGAAACACCCTCATTTTTATGGTTGGGCTCTTGCTGCCCAGCCTCCCTTTCTGCAACAGTTTCACAGTTTTCAATCTGGTCCTGTCCCTGTTTCTTTCAATGCCCAGGTTTTCTCCAAAACAGCCAACTGACACACATGCAATCACTATGCCCAGAACTGCCAGGAGAACTCCGCCAGTTCAGCGGCTCAAGTGGGCAGAAGCTGTCTTGGATGTAGCCTTGCCCGCTTTGAACCTCAAGATTCCACGTGAGGAGCCAGATGCTGAGCACTCCCGAAGAACCCCCTTTCCTAGACCAAATCTCCAACCGCAGCAGATCGCAGCACACACCTAAAGCGCCTTTGACCGCGACCTGACAGAACCCCCTTCTTGTTGTCCACGCTCTTGTCTTCCCATGGAATGGAGAGCAGAAAAAGACTCTCCAGTGTAAGGCCAGAACAGCCAGGTTTACGGCAGAGGCAGAGAAACTGCCCTATCCCTGCCTCCAGGATGGTGAGCCTGCTCCAGGATCCTTCCATCGGGCAGTTTTGGGTGCATTGTGTGGTTTTGTATCAATGTATATGGCTTTCAGCGATGTTAACTTCCAGTGGTGAGAAGTCATGAGATTAGTCCCCGGAATGAGGTGATGACCTTCTGCAACAAGAGTTTGACTTTGAATGGCCAAGGTTTTTATTCCCCTCCTGCTTTCTGCAGGTGCCCCCTGTTTTTCGAGACTCCTAGACTCCTAGAAGAGTTTGTGTCGGAAGGGGCCTTAAAGCTCATCTAGACAAGGTTGCTCCAAGCCCCGCCCGAGCCGGCCTCGAACACTTCCAGGGACGGGGCAGCCACGGCTTCTCTGGACGACCTGTGCCAGGTCCTCACCACGCTCACAGAGAAGAATTTTTTTCCAGAATCCCATCTAATCGTGCCCTCTGCCAGTGTGAAGCCGTTCCGCCTTGTTCTGTCACTGCAGTCCCTCGTAAATAGTCTCTCCTATCCAAGCCTTCTTGGTCCTCCCTGTTGTGTTGCAAAATTTGCAAGTTGATGCTGTGCCAGGGCTGTGCCAGCAGCCAAGGGCTGACCCGGGTGCAGGACCTTGCGCTTGAGGTCTGTTGTCGCTGGCTTTGTTCAGCCTGGAGGAGGCTGAGCTGAGATCTCATGGGGGGCTGCAGCTTCCTGCCAAGGGGCAGCAGCGATTTCTGCTGCGTGGGACCAGGGACAGGACCCCAGGGAACGGCTGGAGCTGTGTCGGGGGAGGGTTAGGTTGGATATTAGGAAAAGCTTCTTCCCCCAGAGGGTGGTCGGCCACTGGAACGGGCTCCCCAGGGCAGTGGTCTTGGCCCCAAGGCTGCCAGAGCTCAAGGAGCGTTTGGACAACGCTCTCAGGCACGTGGTGGGGTTGCTGGGCTGTCCTGTGCAAGGCCGGGAGTTGGACTGGATGATCCTTGTGGGTCCCTTCCAGCTCAGGATATTCTGTGATTCTAACTCTTTGGTTAAGCCTTTGTCTCCCCATGAAGAGCTGGCAAAGCTGTTGGGGGTGGGGCAGAACAAGGGAAGCTGCCTCTCTGACATTGTTGCTGCCTCTCTGACATTGTTGCTGCCTCTCTGACATTGTTGCTGCCTCTATGACATGACAGTGGGAGCCCCAACATTCCGTCCCTGGAGACGCTCCAAGAGGAGCATCCAGACCTGGGTCCAGTCAACAGACCGGAGCGGCCGCCGAAGCTGACTGAGCATGGCCCTGTCAGCTCTGTGGCAGCGTTGTGTGAGCTGGAGCTCAGCCATAGCCCAGCTCCTGCAGCCATTGGTCTCTCGCGGAACCTCCTGCCCCACAGGTGAGGACAGACCCTGAGCCCGAAAGCCCCAGGACGCACGGCGGGGACAGTCACAGCCCTTGCTCCCCTGCCCCTTCCCCTCCTCCTCCTCAGTCCTCTGAGCGCCCGACACCCCCCGACTGGCATGTGACCTCCAGCGTTTGCCCTTTCTCGCAGGATCAGCCAACCTCGGCCAACAGCCTGGGCAGAAGCAGCAGCCCTTGCCAGCTCCCTCTGCCCCACCAGCAGGTATGGCAGTCCCATCTGCCTTGGCCCCTCGGCATTCCCTGCCCCCCAGCCCCTCCAGCCTCCAGGCCTGCCCTGGCTCCTCCAGCCCTGCCGGCACCTCCAGCAGCCACAGCACCCCTGTCCCCCTGCCAGCTGGGGCACCTTGGCTCAGCACGGCACGGCAAGCAGCCCTGGCATTGCCTGGGCCACCTCTGTTCAGGCAAGATCGTTTAGAGGATCTTGGGGCCGTCGCTGCCATTTTGCCGTCCCCTGTGCAACCCCATGGCTGTGGCACAGCAGCTCACCCCGCAGGGATGGTCCCTCACTCAAGCTCCCACTCAGTCTGTGTTCCGGGCCGGCTCAGCGGGTGCCCCAGGAGACTCTCCCAGCCCCGAGCCTCCCCCCCAGTCTGCCTTCTCCCCTGTGCACGTGTGCCAATGGCTCCGGGCAGTGACTGCTCCAACCCCCACCCGTATCTTCTGCTCGGCAGGGACACGGACTCAGCTGCCTCCACCAGCCCCCTTGGCAAGCAGCCATGGCATTGCTCCTCCATCAGGCAATGCCCTGGGGGGGGCCCGGGGCTGCAGGAAGCCCCTGGCCCCAGTCCCACCAGTGCGGGACACGCAGCACGGCTCAGCCAACCCCTCAGGGACGCCCCTGGGCAGTGGCAGCCCTCCAGACACCAGCGTCCCCATGGATGTGGACACCACCCCAGGTCTTGACATCAGTCTGGCCAGCGACGTCAGCATGGATGAGGACAGCCCGTCAGGCCGTGACCTCTCCTTGGCCAGCGACGTCAGCATGGACGAGGACAGCCCGTCAGGCCGTGACCTCTCCTTGGCCAGCGACGTCAGCATGGACGAGGACAGCCCGTCAGGCCGTGACCTCTCGCTGGCCACTGACGACCCCATGGATGGTGGCTCCCCCCCAGGCAGTGATCACGTTGCGAGCTGTGACATCTCGCTGAGCAGCGATGTCCCCATGGATGAGGACACCTTCCCGAGGGGTGACATCTCCCTGCCCAGTGACACCACTGCCAGCCACCCAGGCCCACTCCACGGCCAAGCCATCGGGGCCCCTGGGGTGACTCCAGCCAGCGAGCCTGTGCTGCGTGGCAAGGTCCTGCTGGAAGGGACTCGGAGCCACTTGGATTGCTCCCAGGGAGCCGTGGGCACCAGCCAGGATGGTCGCAGCAGCGTCCCCGTGCCCACGGACCATTGTGGCACCAGTGGCACCAGCCCCCAGCCCAAGAACGCCTCGCTCTGCCCGCCCAAGAAGATGCCGCCCACTGAGCGCAGTGTCCCCAAGCCTTCCAGAGCCGTCCTGAGCACGGGACACTGCAACGCGGGCGGCACCAAGCCTCAGGACCCTCAGCAGGGTGCGGGCACGAACCTGCCACCGCCTCAGAGCAGCATGTCACCAAGCAACATCGCTCTGAAAAGACGGGGCACGAAGAGGAAGAGGGGCTCTGAGCCAAGCACTGGGAGCAAGTGCAAGGCTCCCGCAGCCCGGGCTGGGGCAGAAAGTTCTTGAGGGACAGATCGTTTGGGGATCTGTCCCAGGGGGAGGGACAGATCGTTTGGGGATCTGTCCCGGGGGGGGAGGGACAGATCGTTTGGGGATCTGTCCCGGGGGGGAGGGACAGATCGTTTGGGGATCTGTCCCGGGGGGGAGGGACAGATCGTTTGGGGATCTGTCCCGGGGAGGGGGGGATAGATCGTTTGGGGATCTGTCCCAGGGGGAGGGATAGATCGTTTGGGGATCTGTCCCAATCTGAGGGAGGGAGGGTGTTGCTGTAGATGTAGATATTGATGACCGTTTTCTTGTGGTTATCAATTAAAAGATTTTATTCCATAAGCTGTCTGTGTCTGCATGGAATGGGGAGGGAGTGCAGGGCGGCAGCGGGAAATGGTCCCAAGCAGATCCGCCAAGGCTGAAAGGGCTCCAAGGGCACCCAAAGGGCACTCCAGGCCTGAGTCAGTGCCGGAGGTGCAGGCATTCATGGAAGGTCCCCTTCCCCTGGGGAAGCAGCCCTTTGGCGTGGGAGCCAGGACAGAGGGGTCCGTGCAGGACTCCCGCACACGGCCCCACACCGAAAACAGCCCTCAGCACAGCCTGGGCACCGTCCTCCCACTCTGGGGCTTTAGAAGGCTGCTCCCGCTGCTCCCAGGGACCTCACCATGTCCCCAGTCATCCCACTGCAGCCCCAGACAGAGCTCCCCCAGGCTGCCCCGGGGCTGCATTGGGCAGGGGCGGTAAGGGAGAGGGAAGAATGTGCTGGGAACCCTAATGCAGGGCCTCACAGAAGTCCAGGGAGACGACATCCGTAGATCTCTGGGAGGCAGCACTTGGAATGTATGGAGCTCTGTCGAGGGGTGGATGGCGAGCCACTCGGCGGTTGATGGGTCAGGATCAAAAGGCAGGCCGGGCATGGGGACACTGCTGAGGGCACTGCGGGGACACCGCGGGCCTCCTGAGCAGCAGCAGGATGGGGATGAGAGCTCCACGGGCAGCTTGAAGCTGCCTCCCAGTCACAGTCCCTGGCTCTCGTGGGGCATTCAACTACCCTGAGAGCAGCTGGAAAAGCAACACAGCCAAGCACAAACAGTCCCGGAGGTTCCTAGAAAGCAGTGGCGACAGCTTCCCGACCCATTGCCTCTCACAAGCAATGCTGTGCCGCTCCACCTCAGACTAACACACAGGAAAGGCCTTGTTGGAGATGGGAGGGTAAGGGACAGCCTTGGCTGTCGAGACCATGGGACTGTGGTCTTCTGAAATTCCAGGTATTGGGAAACACATAAATACCAGGAGACAGAGGAGCTAACTAAGAAGGATAAACTTTTATTCCAATGAAAGGGAGAGTTCACTGAACAAACCTCAGTGAGGCCTCTCAAGTCAGTGGAGGTCGCAGCCCCCTTTTATCCCCTTTGCCCGGAGCGCTGCTCCCTCCCCAGCGTTTCTCCACTGGCTGACATACGCCGGGGTTACAGGCTTCCCGACACGCCTGCTCTGTGTCCCCCATTATGTCCCTCGGAGGGGGCTGGGAAGGTCACTGGGGCTTTTCCAAATGGAGGCCACAGCACACTTCAAAACGGAGGACGTGGCCACCTGAGACCTTCTCTGCTGCTGATCGGTCCCCCTGTCTCTGGGCAAAGGGCACCCCTTGGTAGCCAACAATTGAACCACCAGTAACTTACTGCTTCTTAGTGCAAACTGCGACTACCCTACAAACTTTGCAAGCACACTTTCTTCTTCCTAAGGGTGGAGCTGAGGACTGGGGGAGGAGGAAGCAGGGCAGCATGGAAGATCAGAACACGCACCTCAGGAGAGCTGACTTGAGCCTCTTCAGGGATCTTCTTCCTTGGTGTCTGACGTCCTTTTTTCCCCTCACTCGCTGCTCTAACCCCACAACCTGATTTGCTGCACACCCTGTCTCCTAAACCACCGCCCAGCTAGTCTTTCTTGATGGGCCGAGCTCCTTGTTTCCCTTTGCCCTTCTCCGAATGCCAGGGAATGGGAAACACCCTCATTTTTATGGTTGGGCTCTTGCTGCCCAGCCTCCCTTTCTGCAACAGTTTCACAGTTTTCAATCTGGTCCTGTCCCTGTTTCTTTCAATGCCCAGGTTTTCTCCAAAACAGCCAACTGACACACATGCAATCACTATGCCCAGAACTGCCAGGAGAACTCCGCCAGTTCAGCGGCTCAAGTGGGCAGAAGCTGTCTTGGATGTAGCCTTGCCCGCTTTGAACCTCAAGATTCCACGTGAGGAGCCAGATGCTGAGCACTCCCGAAGAACCCCCTTTCCTAGACCAAATCTCCAACCGCAGCAGATCGCAGCACACACCTAAAGCGCCTTTGACCGCGACCTGACAGAACCCCCTTCTTGTTGTCCACGCTCTCGTCTTCCCATGGAATGGAGAGCAGAAAAAGACTCTCCAGTGTAAGGCCAGAACAGCCAGGTTTACGGCAGAGGCAGAGAAACTGCCCTATCCCTGCCTCCAGGATGGTGAGCCTGCTCCAGGATCCTTCCATCGGGCAGTTTTGGGTGCATTGTGTGGTTTTGTATCAATGTATATGGCTTTCAGCGATGTTAACTTCCAGTGGTGAGAAGTCATGAGATTAGTCCCCGGAATGAGGTGATGACCTTCTGCAACAAGAGTTTGACTTTGAATGGCCAAGGTTTTTATTCCCCTCCTGCTTTCTGCAGGTGCCCCCTGTTTTTCGAGACTCCTAGACTCCTAGAAGAGTTTGTGTCGGAAGGGGCCTTAAAGCTCATCTAGACAAGGTTGCTCCAAGCCCCGCCCGAGCCGGCCTCGAACACTTCCAGGGACGGGGCAGCCACGGCTTCTCTGGACGACCTGTACCAGGTCCTCACCACGCTCACAGAGAAGAATTTTTTTCCAGAATCCCATCTAATCGTGCCCTCTGCCAGTGTGAAGCCGTTCCGCCTTGTTCTGTCACTGCAGTCCCTCGTAAATAGTCTCTCCTATCCAAGCCTTCTTGGTCCTCCCTGTTGTGTTGCAAAATTTGCAAGTTGATGCTGTGCCAGGGCTGTGCCAGCAGCCAAGGGCTGACCCGGGTGCAGGACCTTGCACTTTGTTGTGATGGGAAGGTAAGGGACAACCTTGACTGTCGAGACCGTGGGACTGTGGTCTTCTGAAATTCCAGGTTTTGGGAAACACATAAATACCAGGAGACAGTGGAGCAGTCTAAGAAGGATAAACTTTTATTCCAATGAAAGGGAGAGTTCACTGAAGAAACCTCAGTAAGGCCTCTCAACTCAAATGTATTTAGATCTGTCTATGGGTGGATGACAAGTTGACATCTAATGAACCTCTGTACCTAGAACTGCCAGAAGAACTCCATAATTTAGGTTTATGAAGTTCCAATCTCTTACCTATATTGTGTAAAGTTCAGTTAATCACATAAATATAATTTTACCATAAAATATAGCTCACACTTTTAGACCACTGCAATTTTAAAATGCTGCTTAAACACTGAGGCTTTGATTAAGATCTGTGTCTAAATGCTCAGCTAGTCCATATATAGTCACCAGGCAAAAGTATATGAAAGCTGATGTTTCATCTGAACAATTTTTTTCTTTCACTGATAACTGGTAATCTTACATGCATAAAAGAAAAATTATAGACATATAAGTATTTTGGACATAATAGTCTTTCTGGTCTCCACAGATTCAGTACTCAGAACGTGAAAGTTAAAATTATAATCCTAAGGCCTTTTATAAGTGCACCCCCTGCTCTATTTGAAAATAGTTATTTTGATTATTTTGCCTTTGGCAAAAAAATAAAAGTGACTGAACTTCCTGTGTAAATGCAGAATTAAGTTCTGAATGACTGAAGTGCCTAAGCCATGACAACAGACTGATGAGGAAGCAAAGTAGCAGTGACTGCTTTGGCACCGGAGTGAACAGCTTGAGCAATATATGAGACAAGAGGCACGTTCATTGTAATGAGAGTGGTAAAAAAAGCACACCCAAGAAGGTATTAGCTGATTTTTTTCACTAATAGAATTCTGTATTCTGTACTGTTTTGTGGTCAAATTCAGCTCATGCAATCCTTGGCATCTTGGTAATGTTTATGATGCAAAGAACTACATAGTGTTTGTTTTAGTGGCTTCTTCTATATCACTGAAATTAAGTTTGGTTATCCTAAATTTGTTATACTGCAAGTTTAGAGTAGCACAACTCTCTCTGTGTAGATGTTTTTAAGTATGTAGACACCTGTGCATTTTCTAACATTTTAGTCTATTCTAGAAAGACAGTAAATTCTGTTAGAGGAACCTAAAAATTCCTGACCAGCAGCTCTCAAGAGACCCACTTACATGACAGTTGGTAGCAGTATGTGTTCTACCATTTTTTATGCAGGAGTAATGATCATGACCTCATGGAGCCATTTTTTAGGGAAGTAGAGTGTGATCTTATTCATCACTCTTATCACAGGTAGTCAGCTCTTAGGTTCAGTTGTTTAATTTCTATTTAAAAGAGTAGGTTGATTTTAATTTTTTAAATTGCTTTTGTGTCAATTGTAAGTTGAAGAATTCCTTGATATCGGATAATGCCATCTCACCTAACTGATACCTGTTTCCTGGGCAATATTAAGCCACTTCAGTGAAGCTGCGAATCTCATGTGAAATTACCACTCTCCTAAACCAATTCAAGGATAAAGTGACATGTTTATACTATTGTAATGACAAGATTAAACTGCAAATAATTTTAAGACAATAATAAGGAGTTGCTTGTAGTTTATATTTTACATTAAAAATGTACAATGCAGTAGTCATTAACTTGAAATTACAGACACTGAGTTAGGCATATTCTGTGATTCTGTGATCCCAGTTAAAATTGTAAGGCACAGAAAGGAGAATATCGAACTCACAACTAGTGGCAAGTTGCATTCATCCTTGTGAGAAGTGTTGAGGCTGGGAGGGAAAGACTGACCATCACTTCTTTTCAATGTGCTTCTTTTTCCTTTCCTCTCTTTACATCTTTCTACATTTTTGTGTCAGTAGTATTACAATGTTCTCCGAGTTGATATATGATTCAGCACTCTGCTGAATCACAGATGTGCCCA